TTATTTCGACATTGCCTGCAGAATCCGTGCGGCGGCGCTGCCATCCACTGAAGTAATCAAACAGAGAAATTTCTGAAATTGGACAGGAATGACCCACGAACGGGCGCATACTGGCCTCTTGTTGCGCCCTCAGGCCTTGAGTCAAGGTCGACAAAGGGGGACAAAATTGAGGACACAAGCCTCGCCTGGTATGTGAGTCGTCAGATGCAATATGTCACTCTACGCAAAAAAAACACTTGGATGACAACTCCGCGCAATAGTGCGAGGGAATGATACATAGGGGACAATGTACCGTCGTGCCCTATGATGCTCGAGAGGATCAGGCGGGGTACACCAAATGCGAAACTGTTCTTAGTTGTCAAAGTAGCCTGGGTTTTCGAGGTGTCGGAGAGTCATCAAACGTGTAGTCGGCCTTGGTCAGTGGAATTGGCATCTTCGCCGAAGGACGAGACACCATGAAAAAAAATTCTTCGAAAGCCAACAGCTTGGTTGCACTGATGTATCCCTTCTTTTTAATGCGCCGGCCCGGGTGTCGTCGTCCCTGGAATGATTTCCACAATTATCCTCGCTACGAGCTCGGGAGTATGTTCCGTACGCCTGGCACAGAAATGAAGGCCAATAAAGCTTCTGGGGGCTGGTGCGTGGTGGATGGTTTGACCTGTAAATTGACCTAGCAGCTCCGAAAATGAGCCTTAGGCGGCGGGTCCTCCCTAACTGCCTGTTTGCAAAGTAATTTCATTAATAGAACCTGGACCGGTTTCTGTACAGTACCCGGCGCCGAATTGCTTCTTAGGTCGGAAAATGACTGTATAATCGCAGGCTTTACTACTGGCTGTGATTCATGACTGAAAAGCAGCAAGCCGTGTCGATGAAAGAGCTGTCCTATTTTCACAACGGGAAAGGCTTCATGTCGCGTTTTCCTGATAGATAACACCTTATACAATGCAAGGTAGTGCGGCAAGTCTATATCAGTCCTCACCTGTAGCAGGAGTCGTGTCCGCCGAGTTATCGTCGTTTCGACGACGGCAGCTGGGCGGATCATCCCCACTGGAATGTCTTTTTTGGCTATCATGTTCTACCACCACCTGAGAGAAGGGGGGTTAATGTTGATCGCTCGAGCTTCCCAAGCGGCTGGTACCTGATTTTCCGAGAAAATGATGTATCTCAAAAAGATCTGCGTTATCGTTCGGCCTAGCAAGCTTTGATCGGATGTAGCTTGCAAGGGAGGCGCCGCCTTACATTCCAAACTTAACAAAGGTACCGTAGAGAGGCCAAGCAAAAAGCAACGAGTAATGCTTTTCCATAATCGTGAAGTAGTCAGGCGCAAATCTCAAAAGGGGAGCAGCTACCACGTCGTCAAATTATTTGCCTATGAGCCTATGTAGCGACCGAGGTACCAGTGCACTAGACAGCGCGAGGCGACTTGTTCCGGGATCCTTTCGTGCTGGAGACCTCATCGAGATCAACCACCGACAAAGTTAGGGCCTTCTCATCAGTCCTGGAGTTAAGCTGCTTGTTATGGTCAGGTGCCACCTGAGGTTGACGGTTCAGCAGTTCCACGTGTAAAATGCCGGATGAACCGAATAGGTCCGGACTGGATGTAGCTGTCAATAGGTTGCTTTGATGATGGTACCCTCTTCCAGGGCGTGGCCGACCTGCAAACCCCTCACTCGCTCCTAGTGCTGCTCTCGCCCCGCAATATTGCGAGAGTCGGACGTACCTTGTCAGGCCAGTCAACAAGTCATCGACGACCTCGATTTTTCGAGCCCCATTACCTGCACAGAGCGGCGAGAGTATGTGCACACCGACACAACTAGGAGCCACGATGTCAGGAGGAAGGAGCCAGTTTCGTGGTTTTGAACGAGAAAGAGATGCAGAGGTCCTATGGGTGAAGAGCTGCGACACAGCGGTGACAGTGGCTTAAGTGGAGGTGCCGTGGGGTCTGGCTGTGGCACTGGGTCAAGTATTGGCTCCGGATGACAGGCCGGGCACCAGCCTCACTTTGGATTGCAGTAGCGAGAGGTCCCCCGTGCATCTGTCCATGCAGGTCAGCCAGCGGTTCATTCCTGAGAGCCACTTGAATGCCCATGGTATCACTATTTTGGGACACGTCTCTCCTTGAGCAGCTGGAAGCCGCGGCGAAGGTTTACCATTGATGGCGACGTTCACCGCAGGTCTCACGAGAAGGCAAGAGGCGACTAGCTGCTCGGCACTGATCCTCGACCGCTGTAGTGTAGAGAGGCACCAGGCCAGGTAGTCAGTCAGCAGCGAAGCAGTAAAGCCCAGACCTTGCTAGGCTTACACAGTCCTGGCTCTGGCGGCAGGCTTGAAATGTCACTCTTCCAATTTGCCTCCACTGATCCACCTCGACGGCGTATGGGGCTGCCTAAGCATGGGGCATATATCAGGACAGGACGATTGAGGATGATGATACAGGCGTTGGCGAAGCCCATTCGCCGAAACATGGTGCTGGCCGAAGGCAAATCCACGCAGTATACGCGCTGCGTGAGCGTTGGCGGAAGAAAGGAGTCGACAACGTGTGATGTGTGACATGTATCCAGTGACCAGCAATGGAATTGGAAGATGAAAACGCGGGCACCAAGCGAAACCCTTTGGGGATCGCAGGCCCGAGGATAGCATTATTCTCCAGAGCCGAGAATACCTACTATGTAAGCAAGGATAACTGCCTCCTCCTTCCTCCCACTTACTATCACTGACTGCATTTGTCTATAGGTAGTACGACTCCCGGCAACTGCCCTACAGTTTGTCTATACCCAGTTCATTCCGCAGATAGCTATTGACTTGACTTGACCCTTTCTCTGAGACGAGCCTCGGTCCGCTCCTTCCCTGGTTGATGCCATCGATGACTTGAAGTAGGCAATCACGCAGGAAAGCATTGGTCCGCATTTCCCTTACCTAAGCCTAACTGGAAGTAAAAATCTAGAGATAGAAGGAGGGGTTGACAAGTCGGCCCCGAAAAGAGGACGGCTGGAAAGGTACTTGCCAGTTTGGCCACGCACAACGCACTGTGCAGTGTGTGGAAACACCACCACAGGTCCACAGGTGGCAGGTGGGCAGGTGGCAGGTGCGATCCAGAGAGATGATGATGGCTGTTAAAATTGCCCTCGTGTTTAAAATCGAGCAATGCAGGAGCCCCTCCCACGCTTGACCAAGCCCCTCCCCCATAGGTAGGTAGCTCCCAAGGTAGATTACCTAGGGAGGTACCTCAGGGTGCTCGCGAGCCAGCAACAACGCGCCAACCCCACTCTCCTGCTAGGATCCAGCGGAAGTACTCGGGACCTGGGGATAGCATAGGTGGCCGTTGCCGTGAGGGGCAGCTGCCCGCAGCTTGCGGCGGGCGGATGCTAGCGCGGACCGTATACTGTACCTGGCGTGAGCTCGGCTGCGTCTCCCATATTTATCGACTGGGATGTACGGGTCTAAGCCTGTTTGGGCAGAGCACCTAGGTAGGTGCGTCGCTGCTTTTGCAGCATCTCTTATTATTTTATTTTATTTTCCCTTAGCCATTCTCAGATAGGTAGGCTCACTAGGTATTCTTTCTGCTGGCAGCCCCTTCCCCCACCCCCCCCTAAATTGGCACTGGCGCGACACTGCACACTGTCTGGGAACTTGGGAAAAGGTTCCCCTCTCTGGGTCTGTCCCCGTCGTGTCGTCCCATCTTGCTAGTGCTAGCAGCAGCGTGTGCAGTGAGTGCAGTCCGTCAGTCCGTCAGTGGTGCTTCCCACGCCCGCACCCCCCAAATCCAAGCCCACCACCCTCTCACACTCACTCTTGCTCTCAGCAGCAGCGGGACGCACAGCAAGCCCAGCCAGCCAGTCCGCCAGCCCGCCCATCCCTCCTTTCTCCCTCCCATTTCCCCTCTCTTTTTTTCCTCCCGCCTCGCCCACCTCGCCCACCACGTCCCATCTTCCCATCAAAGGAAACTCCCTCTCACCCCTCTTTTTCCCACTTTCCATCCATCAACCACCACCACATCACGACACCTTCACCAAACAACCACATCGACTCGACAGTCCTTGCATCGCGCAGGACCTTTTCAACACCGTCAGGCGTATTTGGCTACAGGCCATCTTAATCATATACCCACCACACAGATACATTCCATGACCAGGATACCACCGCAAATGAGCAGAATCAATAGTCAGAGTCACCAAGACACACTTTAAATCCCACGGGAGCGCGTGCGAGCGAGGAGCTGGGCGATTTCAACTATCGTTCTGAGGAGAGGGTCAATCTGATTTCCGAGTGCCGTTGCTGTTGTCGTCGTCATCGTTGTCAAAGACCACCCGTTTTTAAATCTTGTTCGCTGTAGCTGCCAGATACTCGTCGCCACAGTCGCAGGAAACAATACGCGATATACAGTCAAGATGCCGGGAGCAAGCGTAGCAGCCGTCCCTGCATCTGCCGCATCGCCGGCCTCGAGAAAGGCCTCACTCGCGCCTGAGAGAAAGTACAAGTGCCAGTTTTGCAACCGGGCTTTCAGCAGAAGCGAGCATCGAAGCAGACACGAGAGATCGCGTATGGCAACCCCTCTTCCTTGACCCCATCTCCCCTTCATCGACTACACTTACTTTTCCTACCGTACATCATATCCTATCTACCTTGAGATGCCTCATTGCCTTGAACCTAGGGATTTTTGGCTTATTGCCATCTGACTCGATGTCGCTAAGCGGTTATTCTCTTTAGATACAAAGGAACGTCCTTTCAAGTGCCTGAAATGCAGGAGTACTTTTGTGCGCCGTGATCTTCTCCTGCGACATGATCGAACAGTTCATGCAAAGGATGGCGGAGTTCCCCTCCACAGTGATGGCAAACGGCGTGGCGGCCCCAAGGCGCGAGCCGTCTCGACTCCTTCCAAGTCCTCCCTTGCAATCGATGCCGCGGCGCTTGAACAGATTGAAGCCAGTAGCGAGGGTATTTTCGACGTCGAAACCGCAGCTATGTTGGTAGCTGACCTCCATCACAAAGCCACCGCAGCAATGCGTGCCAACGGCAGCCCGTATGAGAGCAGCCCGAACGTCGGCTACTCGCACAACAGCTCAGCTATGATGGAGCCCGCCGTGACATACCCCTCCGGCGCAATCGCCTTGTCTCAGTGGGATTCCTTCCTGCCTCAAGGTGTTGCCGACGCCAAGGCGCACTCCATCTCGTCCAGTGCATCCGGTTCTTTCGAGTCGCAGCCACCGTTCGCCAGCGGAAGCGCAATCCAGCCGCATCCCCACCAGTTGCCTCCCATCAACGGTCAGAATGTGAATGGCCTCGTCCCCGCCTTGCAGTCCATGATCAACTCGCTACCGCCATCTGTGTCGGGCACTCCCACTCCTCATGTGCCGCAGAACAGTGAGGCCCTCCAGGCTCCAGCAGGCTTCAAGACTCCTCAGGTCATTAGCGACGAAGAGCGTAATATGATCTTGGACAACATTCGTGGTGACGACAACGAACATGCTATCCCAGACGGCTTCAGACTGCCAAGCCTAGCCTCCCTCAACCGATACCTGGCCACCTACTTCAGCATGTTCCACCATCATCTGCCGTTCTTGCATCCTGCTTCCTTCGAGCCGACTCGAGTGTCACCGCCGTTGCTCCTTGCTGCGCTGTCCATCGGTGCCCTCTATGCATTCGATCAAGAGCAGGCATACATGCTTCACATCGGCTCTAAAGTTCTCGTCAATCAGTTTTTGCAGAACAAGGAGAACTTTAGCTCACGGAAATGTCCCTTGTGGACCATGCAAGCCTCTTTGCTGAACATGATCTTCGCAAGCTGGAGTGGTGATCCGAAGGGCCTTGAGTGGGCTTGCTCCATCAAGAGCCTGCTCGCCAACATGGTCGCTGGCAACCGTTATGAACTGAAGTTGAGACAGGAGGCACGTGAGGGTCGCTCTCCCACTCGCAGCGAGTGGGTCGAAGATGAGGGCTGCAGACGCACCTACTATGCGGTCTACATCTTCTTTGGTCTGTTGACTCTTACGTACAATCATACACCAGCCATCAGCTTTAACGAGTTCGAGGACCTGCAACTGCCGTCGACCGAGGCTCTCTGGAACCTCAAGGTATCTGACGAGGCCGCATGGCAGGATCAGCTCAAGCTTTCGCCCGGTGTCACATTCATGGATGCCCACGACAACCTCTTCCAAGGCGAAACGTTGAAGTACAGCTCTTTTGCGACACGCGTCATGATCAATGCTCTGTTCCTCGAGGTCTGGTACCACAAGCGCAGCCCCGAGGCTTTACAGGATGTGGTCACGGAATACAAGCTGAGGCTTGCTTTGGAGACATGGGAGAAATCCCTAGAGCTCTGTGAGCCCGAGGCGGTGACTGTTCCACTCAGCGCGCCCCATAAGGGTCATCCGCTCATCTTCAACGCGAAAGCCATGTTCCGCAATGCTCGCGCACGGCTAGAGGTGGATCTCAAGGCAGTGCAAGAGGCTCTCCGGTATCACGATTCTTATGAAGTTGCGGCGGCGATGTCGAATGCACGGGACCGAGTCAAGCGCTCAAGCGAGATGATTAAGGTCATTCAAGAATGTTACAACTGCATTGAGACTGCTGTTCTTCAGGGAGTCCGCTGGGTCGCTCGTACGTCTCCGACGAACTGGAGCATTGAGCATCCTCTCTGCGGTATGGACCTCATGATTGTTCTAAGCCTGTGGCTCTACCGTCTGGAACATGACGAAGAGCCCGCTACAGAGGAGGAGCTTGTCATGTACAACAAGGTCCGACAGCTCTTCGAGAAGGACCTGGATGAGAGCTACATGTCTCAATTGAGCTCAGTGGTGGCTCGTCTTTGGGGCTCGATGCTCGACGAGGTTGTAGTCTGGGGGTAAGCTTCTTTTCTCTTTGTGCCGTCGCCTACGGTCAGTAGCTAACAGTTCTACAGAATCACCAGACTCATGGGTGAATCCTTCCGGCTGCACTCGCAGGCCCTGGTCGGCTATGTGGATGACATTGAGGCGTCCTCCAGTGTCTCTACTCCTTCGATGATCTCGCAAGGGGCCGATGAGGACAGCGTGTACTAGTTTCCCGCAATGATTGAACGATTTCTTTTGTCTTCTCGGGGGTGATTTCCTTTGCATATACCTCTCGCGTCTCGACTGCTCTTTTCTACCACCGTGGTTTTCGGTTTCGGCGTGGGGAAGGGGTTCGCTAATCTGATTTCCTTGTCGTTCGCGTCTGCATACAAGCTCACTGCATCGTCGATGGTCACTGGCAATAATGGGGGCAGGCTTTGGTACAAACGGTTACGCATTGGTCCAGTGAGGATAAAAGGGGACCACCGCGCTCCGAGCGCACCTAATACCCTGCACACACAATTGTTGGCTGGTCCATACGGAGGATTCTCTTTCTCCTTGTCTTATTAGCTACGGCACCCTACTTGCTTTACTAATTGGCCGTGTCTGCGTTTTTTCCTCAAACACTTCACTTCCTCGTCGCTCTCCTGATACCTTGTTCGATATACAGATTGTGCTGTTCTGCTCTTCATACATTCCTTTTGTTTTGGCTTAAATTTGTTCTATCTATGTCAGAGTCCTGTGTACCAGATGCAGCTTGACTCGGAGGGTTTGAGTGGTTGGAGACAGCCTGTGCTCTGTCTAGGTTGAGGGAACAGCTCAACGTAACGAGATTGATTAATCGCTCCTAGTTTCCTTGACGCGTTGAATTTCCCTTGATATTCGTTGTCGTCTCTCATGAGTGTATACAGACAGGTCCTTCTGCGATTTTAGCATCTTAAAAAAATATCACTTCTCTCCGCCTGGATTTGACAATGATACTGTGAATATATCATCGTGCAGGTCTGTTCTTCCCACCGCAATGCGAGAGGTGATTTTAAGTCCAAAGATAGCAAGTTAAGCCGTGATCAAGATGAATTGTTCTATGCTATCATCAGTTGTTACTGGTCTCGAGGACAAAGTTGACTGAACTGGTCAACTCACCACGGGAACCAGAGAGACTCTTCAGAAACAAGACCCTATTCCGCAACGGCAGGTTCGATATCTTAGGCATAAGTATATGTAATTCACCACAGTACAGTCGGCAGAGGCCAGCATGCCGATAAGGAACGCACCTTTCCGGGATTCCAAACCAGCCACCAGCGTGGAGTACAGAGGCGGTCCTGCATGCCCCTCTTTCTCCCAACCTTGGAAAGTCTCCCCCGCATGATAGTCCAATTGGTTGTTCGTCTAGACAGGTTAACTTACGACCATTTGCACGTCAATGGCGCTTATCAGGTCCGGGGTTGGACCACTAACCTCAGCCCTGTTGGCACACCTCCTTGCGGCACCGCAGCGCGAAGACACCTGATTTTAGAGTAGCATTGTACCGTGCTTCCTGGGAGGAGTGTGCAGGTGTGCAAGAGGGCGGTTATTCGTTCGTTTTCATATCTTGATAAGGCCGCCCAACGGCGTGATCCCATTCCCTCGACGGCTGCCTCTTTTCACTCCAAAGACAGGACATCGCCATCGAGTGCCAAGATGGGCCTTTTCGGCCTCTCCCGAGCGCTCTTCACCTTTGGCTCAATAGTGCAGCTGGTCAGCGCTCACTTTAGGCTGCTCAATCCTCCCACGATCGGCTTGAATGACGACTCGCAAAACAAGGCCCCATGCGGGGGATACTTTCCTGACTTCACGGCGGTCAACCTAAGCAACTTCCACACCAATGGCGAGCCCGTCGCCGTCTATCTCGGCCATACTCAGGCGAACTGGCTATTTCGTGCGATGTACATATTGGATGAGGCTTTCAACAACACAAACCCCGACTCGCAGGTTTGGGATGCAGAGAATTGGGAGCAGTTGTATCCCGTTGTGCAGCAGACTGGGGCAGAGAACTTCTGCATACCCAATGTGACAGCCCCGTACAATTGGTCTGGCCAGAAGGGTATTATCAGTGTGGTGTCTGATGGGCCGGATGGGCTGATGTTCCAGGTGAGATGTCTAGCCGTGTAAACAACTCTTATGACTAAAGTAACAATGCAGTGTGTCGCCGTGAACTTCGTGTCTGGGACTAGTCCAGGCTCTAGTGATTGCCACAATGGGACATACAGCAAGGTCGTCGAGGGCGAGTTTACTCAAGACACGGACCTAGAGGCGCTCGTCAGGGTTTCGTTACCTGTGCCTTCCAACCCACCAGCAAGCAGCGCAAGCGCCGCTGTAGCTACTCCATCACAAACCCGCGATCTCTCAGGAGACCGATGGGGGGACAGCTCAAGCTCGCACGGGATGAGCCATTCAGCGCAGGTCGCCGTCGCCGTGTGCATGAGCTTCGCCGCGGTTTTCTTCTTGGGGGTGGTAGTCCTCTTGTGGCGGCGACGTGTGCGGGAGAAGACGGTCATCCCCCTTCATACTCGTAGTAATCGGCGAGGAGGCGCTGGCGACGACGGCCTCACACGACCGCTGGCTATGAGGCAACTGAGCCGCCGCAGCAATGGACCGGAAGACGGCGTGGCGGACCCTCCGCCGCCATATGAATACAATGCCACGTCACCGTCAACAGCGAACCCAGGACTTACAAATGTGCCTCCCGAGCCTGCTCCTCCAGTGTACACGCGGGATTCACAGATATCACAACGGCCGATATCGACGGCATCTCCAATTTAAGCAATACGTTCATCGAACTCTGTCGGGCAGAAGTCATCATCTCAACGATAATATGCTTATTTTTTTTCAATCGATTTATTATGGACTATAGGAACCTATGGTATGAGATATGAGGAGGACATTCGTACAGATACCCACCTGGGAAATATGACCTTGTAGGCGTTGCTTGATGGATATTGAGGGTGCGGGAATGTTTCACAAACACATGGCTTTGAATTCTGCGTTGGATACCCTTGATCTAATAGTATATACCAAAACTGTCATTATTTTATCACCAGTCTCTCTGAACTTTGAAAAGTATAATTGAGATTGATTACGTGCCTGTTACTCTTGGATCTCTGTTGTAGGCATGTGTTTTAACTGCAAGTGCCTGCAAGGGCGTTGTAACTAAGCTCACCGATAAGGCCAGCCGATAAGTATCCAAAGCCCACAACTGACTGCGCCTGAACCTCGCCTTGAATTGCATCAATTGACGACCTACTGCTCACGGCTGGTCAACGCAACCCTCGAGATTCGCCTAGCGAATGCGCATCTTCAGATATCATGGCCAGCATACCACCCGGTAAACAGGGCGGCAAGGACCAGCCTGGTCTGCGGTATCCTACAAACGGCAAGACCATCTATCACCGTCCTTTAAATCGCACCAAGACGGCAGAGCTCAGCCAGTCGAGCTTCGCATACCTCTTCTCCGAGATGGTCAGCTATGCACAACGGCATATCACAAGCATTCAGGACCTAGAAAAGAAGTGGGTTGTCAGCTGCCACCTTTGCCATATGTCCTCCGTAGCTGACTCTCGTCTTCACCCTTCGTAGACTCAACATACAAGGCCACCCCATCGGCGTCAAGCTCCTCGACCTACTCCTCTACCGCGAGCCGGCGCGGTCACAGACCCGGCCGCTCAACATCATTGCGCTGCTACACTTCATCAAGATCAACGCGTGGCAGCACCTATTCGGGCGGCAGGCCGACCGGCTCGAGAAGAGCAGCAACCCGGACACGCCCGACGAGTACATGATCATCGACAACGAGCCCCTCGTCAACCAGTACATCAGCGTGCCCCGCGAGATGAGCCAGCTCAACTGCGCCGCCTACGTCGCCGGCATCATCGAGGGCGTCTGCGACGGCGCCGGCTTCCCCGCTCGCGTCACCGCGCACAGCGTCGGCAGCAAGGAGGAGGGCGAGATGTGGCCCGGCAAGACGGTCTTCCTGGTCAAGTTTGCGCCCGAGGTGCTGGAGCGGGAGAGCTTAATAGGAAAGGCATGAGCCAGAGGGCCTTGAAAATGTCAGCTTGAAGCGCTGTTCTTGTTTGATTGCTGCATGGCCAGGCGTTAGGGGGCTCTACGGTGTCACGGTTCTGAATGAAAAGAATATCAAGGTCATCTGCATGGTCTGATCGGTGCATTTCGGTAGACTCGAGTGCCAAATTCGCAATGCGGTCATAATTGATGCCAATAGTGCTTTGTTATAAGCCTGCTCCCCCGTGGAAATGCGCCTGCCTGGCCCTCCGAAGTGCATCTCAACTCGTAGCCATCCATAGCCATATCCTTCCGTAAACGCCGTCTCATAAGCTCATGATGTGTGTCAAACAGATGCCCCCCTCTCATCACCTGGGTAGTTTCCCGTTCAACTTGCTCCCAGAGCCTGTGCCGGTGGCTTTGCCCTTAGGGGGAGGTCCCTTCCTCATTAGCTCTCCAAGCCCGAGGTCCTTCCAAGCAGGCTCCTTGGTGCGCTGTGTGGCCTTTTGGATACCGAACGCGGCATGCTGGTCAGGTACTACATCATCCTCGTCCTCTGGATTGATGGGCTGGTGCTGTGGCGGCACGTAGATGTCATCGGCTGGCAGTTTGTCCTTGCAAAAGTCTTCAAACAGGTCCGCGTCGCGTGGTCTCTGCATGTGAATATATGTGAATGAGGCGTCTTTGTTCTGGGAAGACAGTAAGTAAAGATGCGTTTTCTAAATGAAGAGAAAAAGGAATGTTTACCATTTTGAATGAAATGACGTGATCATATATGTTCACAGTTTCTTGTTTGGAGAGAGTGGCGGTGGTTGAGGAGGCGGCTGTGGTGATATTAGATGTTTTGGAATGATGTTCTTCTGGCAGGTTGGCAGGCCATCTGTTTAAGCTACCTAGGTAGAAGGTGCTTACCGTTCTGTAGTCTGCCAGGGTAATTATTGTCTAGCGCGTTACATATCCAGAGACAACAAGGGCTCACATAACATTTGGTACTTCCTGATAAAACTCTCTCTGGCTTCACTTTCAAGTATAAAAAGCTTATGTCTGATAATTAACAGATAGTTCTTTCCATTAATCTCTTTATTCCTTGTCAGGTAGGCATCGTGGCCCTTGAAAATAAGTCACACACTAGACAATAATTACCCAGCAGACTGTAGGCTTATCAGTGGATCTAGGCCAACCTCTGGGGTTCGCAACACTCACGTAACCTTTGATCATCATGATTGTCATCCGCGAAGACCCTTCAGATTTACATTCTTGAACTAACAGCTTGTCTACTATGTGCAAAAGAAGAAACAGACCCCCAAAACGTACTTACACCAGTGTGTAAGTGACAAGCAAGGAAGGAGCCAGGTTTTCCGACGGCCTTCAGTGGTAACTTTTAAAGCCAGGATACTTCTCGATGTTAGACAGACGTAGGTTATCAACACTCTTACAAACACAATCACACCGAACAGCCATGTGCAAAAGACCGGCTCACTTATATTCCTGAAAACGTAGCTAATTCTAGGTAGATGGCGGGGAATAGACTTACAAGCCACTCAAAATGATGACTGCTGGTTACTACTAAAACTGTTGGCATGGAGAAGTCATAGGTAACGAAAGGCGGAGCTTTATATATATCGACTCGCTCACTGTATTATGTATGCAATGCATAAATAGTCTCACCTTTCTTTAAATTAAAAAAAGGTTGAAGAAAGGTAGGGATTGTAATAAAGAGGAGGGAGTGTTTTGAGTAGACTAGGTAGTGTGAGAGAGCAATGTGAGCACCAGTGAGGTGGACGCTACCCACGAACAAAATTAAGTAGCGATCCTGACTCATGCAAAAGATATGATTTCAATATGGAGACCTTTTTCCCAACATGGTTCGGTGGTGTAGATGGTTTATCACGTCAGTCTAACATCAAAAATGTACACTGAAGGTCCCCGGTCCCGGGCCGAATCAATTTTTGCCGATTTTTCTTCGATTTTTGAAGCTTTTCACCATACCGAGGTAGTTCCATGTCAAGTCAAGTAGACTTTTCCTTTTTTTTCACATAGAATGAAGCAGTAGCTTCTCTATATAATTCTGTTCATGTCTTTCTCATACTACTAGGCCTTTATAGACTTCTAAGAATCCTCATATATTAATGCATTAACAGCCACCTTTCAGCTTGATCTAATGATACATCGTCTCGATCAAATTCATCAAACTTAACAAAAGTACATTCAAGCTTCATAAGAGACAGCCAGGCGACAGCATCGGCGAGAGTGCTCAGTATGGTGTTGGATTGTTGTATGTGGCTGGCATGAGATCCTGAATTATTATACCTACAGTCTCAATGTTGTAGGAATCTCAAAGCTCGGAAGCTAGCCACTAACATAATAAGGTAGTTCTATGAAGATTTCCCACATAGTGATCTCTATGTGATGTATAATCACGTCAGTCTAATATGAAGACCTCTTGGAAATCAATAGGTCCCTAGTTACACTGAAGGTCCCCGGAAAGCCCGGGCGGAATCATAAATCCCAAAGATTTTCTTTTTTGTTTTTCATTTTTTTTCCTCTTCGCTTCATGACCACACCCTGAGATTCTTTTTTTCTAAAGTCATTAAGTATCAATTACTTTGTACTGTGTGAAGCCGCATATTGCTGTCGAACCTTGTTGAAATAAGGGTCTATCAATCAAAAGATATGCAGAATACAACTTAGGGTGTCTACCATTTGGAATCGTCAGCTAGCAAATTTCTATGTGGCACCCATATAAGATTATTAAGGTAGATGCCCACACTGCTAGCGTAAACCCTCCATACTGGGCAGAACTACTTTCAAAAGCAGGTTTCGATATCGACAGTCAGTACTTCTTCAAGGTGCCACTAAGATTTCTTGATATGCTTTCTATACAGGAGATACTTGATGTAGGTCAGTGTTGATTAGCTCTTTTGAAGAGAAATTTGGTATCAGAGGCTGTATCCTGACTTTGTCTCTGTTTCTTCATGCAGTATCTCTGGCTCTACACTTTCTTCCTTTCAAAGAAGCTATGATGACGCGAACAACACTTCATTGCATGGATAAAGAAGTATTTTCAATGAGACATACTCGCCGTCAATGTGTATCCTCTCCAGCGACTCCTATTCCTCACTGGCCATAAGAGGCTTTCTAAGCCTTCTAGAATACGCAGTGAATCGTTGGAAAACTAACGACTAATAGACTTAATAAGCTACCGGGATGATGACTGGCGGCCAATCTAAGCTTTTCGCTCATGTCTCGAAGAGGTCCCGAGGTATATGGAGCTACTGATGCCAATGGCATTCCTCTCCGTACGACCGGGTGTGTGCGGGCGGCGCTGCGACAATCCTCCTGGTTGCTTCCGCCGCGATGAAGACCACTCAGCCAGGTATCTCCTAATGTCTAAAAATGTGAACGTCCAAATTCATCGCCCTATACATACGGCTTATGACGTGGGGAATAAGAGAGTGCAACTTATATATTTAATTTCTAGTCCAAGCAAATGCCATTTTACCTACGCCTGCTGAGATGACTTTCATCGAAGACTCTCATGAGAATCGCTATCAGGTAGACTTTGGCGAAAGAAGTCATTTCCGCCAGCACCCTGCAGCTTTTCCAATATTTTCTGTCTCCACCTCATATTCTGAGGACTCATATTTATCTCATCACTTTGGAGACTAAGCTCCTCGACATGTCTAGCGATATGTACAGCACTTGCAGCGCCGAACATCTTTCCGAAACCAGGTGGAATGTAGGGACTGAGCATCTCAGGCGCATGGCTGTCGCGATATCCGATAGCATTGACGTCTGCATCGAACCGTAGCAGCGTTTCAACGCCTACCAAATCTTGTCGCCAGACAGCAATCTGCAGTGGTGTGATTTCGAAACCCATGCCATTCACATCCGCACCTTGCTTGTACACAAGCAGCTCAATGATCTTAAACCTGTCTGCATTAGATATGCTGCCAGTTGAGAAACCAGCCAGATACATCATGAGGTATTGTGTTGCTGTCAGGGCATCAAGCTCTAGACGAGAAAGAAGGTATAAGAAATGCCGCCTATCGCGTTTGATTGCCCAAAATAAGAACAAGTCTAGAACGTTATGATGAATCATGGCACCATGATGTGAAGAGCTAGCAACATCTTTAACAGATGCTTGAAACTCCGAGGCTAGGATTGTGGCGCTGCTAGTAGGTAGGATGTCATCTGCAACAGTATGAAGTCCTCTTGCCACTGCGTGGACAAGTGCGACAATGTCTGGGTTGTCAGGACGTTGTAACCACTCGATAGACATTTCACCTTCAGTCAGCGTCGAAGGGAGTAAGTCGTCGATAGGAACCCTTGGGTTAGCCAAGAAAGTCCGCACTAGGACAGCGTATTCGCCAGTTCCTGTTCTGACAACAGGCACTTCCAGTAGTCGTTTACATGACTCAAGACAGTATTGTCTGAAGTCCAAGATTGATCTCCGGTGGTCTGCTGCTTTCTTCTGGTCTTGCCTCAGTAGAAGTCTCATGAGTGACTTAGCATGGATGTAAAGAGCTTGGTCTGGTCTCCGTGCAAAGTAAGATGCTGAACAAGCTGCCGCGCGATCTGACCATAGGAACTCGCTGACGGTATAGTGTGCTAGTGATACGTGATAATCAGAGATAGTGATGAGACATCCACACCTATCTCTGAGTGTATCGCGAGTGTAGAAGTGCTGCTGTGGATCGTCATCCTCTCTATCGTCCAAGGCTGAGATTGCCAACTCCTGTAGAAAATGGGTAAACATTGGTCCACCACGTATCCTAAAACATTCAAAGTCAGAAGATTCATTGTCAACCATTTAAGATCATGTAAAGTTCCATGATGGATATATCCAAAACCGGCTACGACAATCGGAGTAGCCATAGTAGGTAGTAATTACGAGCGTTGCTTACATAGTATGACCTAAAATAGTCAACAAGACCATTCGCACGTATTGTCGATCATCTTCTGGTATGCTCATAAAGATGCGTTCGTACGTCTCGTCAAGAGTTTTGGGGAGGTGTTGAAGTGCGTCTCGGACATCTCGATGCCTCCTTAACCGTTGTAGCACGTCAAGTTGACAGAAAGCCCAACGAAACCTTCACAATCATGAGCCACATACCACTATGCATATAGAATTCTCGTGACTCACATTCCATGTGCCCCTTTCGAGATAGCGTCCTCGACTTCACGGAGAAGGTCCGGGGGCCAATCTTTGAATCTGTAATTTGATCTAAGCTGAGAATAAACATAAACGCGAATATCTTCTGTGACGACTGGATTTGACATTGAAACGGAAGTTGAGATGTTCGTAAAACAAGTCTCAATGTCGTAATATTCTCTGCTAGTTGCCAGAAGGCGGATCTTAGTGAATCTAGGATCGGTCACTAAATCCCTTAGGACTTTTAAAATATTGTCACGAGGATCACTTTCATCGACAGCGTCCACCACGAAGTAAACCAGGTCGAAATCATCAAGAATTGTTTCGAGTGCTGTTAAAAGGTGTATACTTGTTGGTTGATGCTTTCGTTGGTAAAGATCGACGAGCTTTGGAGGCATTCTTTTTGCCTGCCGACATAACTGTGTCACCAACCATCTCAGTAATGGCTCGGACTCATCTTGATTGTTCTCGAACCAACAGTAGTAGTACACCAGTGCATGGCGTTGATTACTGCACAGTTCTTCGATCTTTCTGATCAAATATGATGCCAGGACTGTCTTTCCAGAGCCTGGAATTCCATATACCCAGAGAAACTGCGTCGAGCCCTGCAACCAGTCTTTCCATTCTGGAGAACGTAGCATCCATTGGCCGGTCTGGTCCTCATGCAGCTTGCAAGTTTCATTGTGGCGAAAAGTTGGATTGATCAATTCAAACCAATCACACATTTCATTTCGTTCATCATCCTGTTGAATGTTAGTCAAGCAACCTCCTATGTCAAGTTGCAGAAACACACCGTTAATTGAGTGTGTACAACGCCGAGTCTGTCTTTTATGATGCGAATGTCCTTACTATGATATTATATCAGCTAAAGGTAGTAAACGAGTAAAGTAGCACACGTTACTTGCCCGCTCTCAGAGGTTAAGGCAACTGTAATGCTCATTTTGTATTGCTGTATCTCCTGAAGCAGTCGCTGAGCTCTTGCTTGTTTCAGCGGCCATGCTAATGATTCTGCTGCTGCTGCAACCACCCTCCGTCGTTTGCCATGTTGTTTCTTTATTGTCGTTGGAAGCAACTTCTCCAGCTCAGAGACAGATTTGCGGCAGGCTTCGAGCGTCCCGTTTGGGCCGTCAAGCTGCTGAAGCAAGCTAGTTGAGCTGTCCGTCCTGGCATGGTCTGCTTCTGCGAGAACCTTTAAGCTTTCGAGTAGTGCTTTCAATGTCGACACTTCAACTAATATAACTCGGACATCGTGTGGACAGTCTTGAAGGTTGTCGAGAAAATGCTTCGAGGCCGTAATGACTGATTCTGTCAACTGAATGACAGCGATCACACTCGCCACAAAGCCTAAGACTTCGGCCATCAATCCATGCAGAGCAAGATAGCACGCCGAACTTGAAGACAACACAGAAACAAATGTAAGATGGATGTAAGAAGAGGGTTGCTATCTTGCTACGTATTGAGTTATATGTCGGATCATTGCTGGTTGAGTGAGGCATGCGCTTGTGGCTGGTAATTCATCGGGGCTGTGTTGCATAACGTTGTTAGCAACCCCCTCAATGACTTGCGAGGGTCTGCTTGCTATGGTGCAATTTGAAGGTAGCCTAGAGGTAGCCTCACTCCATACCAAAAAAAAACACACACAAGATAATGAGCTCTTATCAGACTGGCGTTGTATTAGTGCAGTAATATGCCAATTTGGTGATAAAGCTTCGGTTGAGTCGAGTACATCGGTGGATGAGGTTATCTTATAATACTCTGGTAGCTGTTGAGGCTGTGCTCAATTAGTTCCTTTATATACTTCGCAGACTTGTACGGAACAGAATTGTAGGCAACTTCAAACAATTTGCCACGACATTATACAGGACGAAAGGCCAACATCGGTTTACTTCTCTGCTGCGATTCACTTTGTGCTCATTCTTTGCCCCACACGCGTTGCTTACCTGGTATACAACATCACTGCAACACTACATTCCTACATAAACGCTTGTATACCGTTACATCGACGATCCTTTCGCCCATTTTGACAACTCAACTAAGATCGAATGACCTCGACTAGTCAAAGATTTCACATTGGCCGTTCAGATGGCGTGGCTTGGTCGAATGAAGAGGTGAACAAGTCACAAGGCATTATTGCGCCTTCATGGACCGAGCCGATTTCTCTCCTTGCTGGAGACCAAGATCTGGAGCAATGGATGGTGACCTTTGGCAAAGAACTACATAATATCATAGATCCTTTGAATCATTGTACTCTCCCTACTTTCTGACTCCAGGAGCCTCATGGCTGACCACTGAAATAGCAGCCGTGCTCGTCGAGCCTCCCGAGAGGTATCAATTCAGGAGAGCCATTCACGACGATGCAGGCCAAGGGGCTTTGTGTCTCTTTGGGCACCCTAGAGGGGCCAATAAACCTTTTACCTCTGCTTTAGATGCAGTGCCACATCTTATCTGGCTTCTCTCAGAGTCTCAAAATCATGATGACTGCTCATGTGCCTTGTGTCAGAGTTGCCCTGAAGCTACTCTTGAGTCTTGTAAAATCGTACATGACTTCTGGATAAATCACGGAAAGTACACGCAAGCAACACATGTTGCCACAGACGGCCGCCCGGATCAGACACAATATACTGCCGACCGTCTCGATGAAGCTGCCAGCAAGACCAGATCAGCCAGTGCTAGACCATCCGTTGATCGAGTGGATGAGGATGGTCTTGGCTCTACTCCTGACCATGAACAGTGCTCGGTGTTTAGGGTCGGGGAGATGGTCTGGTATAGGCGGGGTGATGCCTGGCAGCTGGCCATCCTCATCTCGGCTCTAGGCAGGGACAATACTCAAACGCCCATCTTCACGATCGCACCGATCGGTCATAAATCCTTCCAAGATCTTTCCATTACAAGAAAGGAGACAGAAATGAGGCCATTCCTATCATTTTCCATTCCCTTCCTCCAGAATGACTATTTGAGGAACAAGGACTATCTAGACATCAACTGGCACGAAGGAAGCAACGACTACAAAAATGCACTAGAGGCTGTAAAGGGATCATCACTTCTATTACGCCTGGATGCATCAAAGATGGCCGCGTACGAGATTGATCAATCATACTCCCTTTACAGATCTGAAGAGCATGGTGATGAATGCAGTCAACCTACCGGTGTGTTCCTAGGAGCAGAGAGGGTGGATGTGGGAGGGATTCTTCGCCTCGGAGTGTCGACAATCACGGTGTCTGACGGTGAACCCAGGGTCATGCATCTGAAAAGGATAATTAACGTTATGAATGACAACCTTTACTTCGGAGGCGACGTCTATGCCTTGACCCGCATCGCTTCCATCCAAGCAGACGATAACCAACTCGCCGATCAGTATCCCAGTACACTGTTGAGCAATGAGACTCGGCGACGAAACGAGCTGGAGTCGCTATCACAGACAGGCAAATGCTGGGTATGGAACTTGCTTGAACGAGACGCTATTTTGAGTGAACGGAGTGAGGATATACATGGCAGATTCTACAATACAGACGCTCTTGTGAGGCTGTTGGAGCCGGACGTCAACAATTTCCCAGATGCATACGTCAAGAATCTGGGGCGGAACATGATCCTGAATGATCGAGGGAGAAGTGATTCTGAGCGGCCAGGACTTGATCGGCACAGGAAGTGCTCAACTAGAATAGGCACCCTCATGGATTCGATCATGGTAGACTTGAAAATCCCCGGCATCGTGGAGGACCTGATGTAAGAACAGAAAGGGCCTGAGTGTGGCTTGTCGAGAACGAGTAATTGAATCATAGATGTTAAAACGCGTAAGTAATGCAAGTGGATCAAGAAGTAAAAGGAAGAGACTGCGGTAACCATGAGAGATAGGGTACTTGAGGATATTGCAGAATTCTAGCCTGGCTTGTCTGAGCCCGGCGTGTCTGGTGCTCTCAGTAGACATTGGGTTCTGAGACTCAGGAGCACAGACTTGACAATGTGGTGGATCAAACACAGATCGGACGAAACACTCTTACGACGGCAGCTAAATCTTAATTAATTCCTTGAGAGATTGCTCACTGAACAACGCCCTGCCAGGCCAGGTTTGAGATGAAAAACAGTATCCATTGTATCTAAGTATCGTCTTTCAGAGACGTGATATTCGATGCTATAAGAACTGTAAACGCCAAGGATGCAAGCCAAATACCCAAGATCCCAAGCATACTCTGTCCTCCTCTCATCCACAGCACTGAAGTGCATAATTCCGCCCTTCCAGCTCTTCACATTTCTCTCCACACAAACATCTTGAAACACCCAACTTCATCCCGTCTATTCGGCATCGGCCGGAGTCTCCTTGATAGTAGGCGGTGGTGGCATGGCCCCTTGAGTGGTCGAAGAACCCGCCGCCGCAGCCGCCGCCTCGCGAGCCTTCTGCGAGTCCAGAACGGCCTGTAGCTCTGGCGGCGCCTTAAAGCCGGCATGGTCTGAGTGCTTCTTATAGAAGTAGTTGTCCGCCTTCGGGCGGAGCTCGGGCGGGAGCTCCTCCAGCACGCATGCCAGGATACCGTCTACTGATTTCTTCATGGATGACTCTCTGTGCCAGATGGTGATGAGGTGCGAGTTGAATCGCACCGAGAGTCCCACGCCGCAGATCTGGTCGCCTGAGATGCAAATGTCAGCTTCAATCCGCATGTGTTTCCTCAGGATCCGCCATTACCTTCAGCCAAGGCGCTCTGGAGCTGCTCGCCAATGGCAAGGAGTTGCACCCTCGTCCAAAAGTCCGGGCCTGTGCTCTTGGGCACACGGAACGTCCAGCTCCCTCCGTTGATATTTCGCCGGTCCTCCCAAATAGGCTTGAAGCCCTGCTTGAACAGGTAGATAGACTCGCGCATCTTGATCTGGTCCACGGGCGTATTGTTGTTGTATCTCCAGAAGTCTTGGACGGACTCGATCTGGGTGCCGAGCTGCTCGAGCTGGACTTGGTACTGGTCGTCGTCACCCTTCTTCTGGTCTTTCTGCTGTCTGGGGGAGAGGCTCAGTATTAGCGGTGCGCTCAAGACAGTTGTAAGAGAGAGACATGGGCGAGAAGCAGGCAGTAGGGTGAATATGAGTATTTACCTGTCGAAATAGACATTCCAATAGTGCTGAGTTGGCAGAGGTCTCATGGCCTTCAAGAAGTTCCGCTTGGCATCGTCTCGCTGCTCGGCGGGTGAGCCCACGTTCGGCGAGTTGGGGTCTGATGTTTGGGACAGCGAGGAGAGCCCGCGAGTGAAAAGAGCAGGTCTTGCGGCCATGTTGGTAACTCGATGTATCAAGCAAGAAACAAGAAGTCTGAGAGAGCACTGAGATTTGCAAGATGAGTCGCTCTCTCTCGCAAATTCCCCGAAAGTGGGATGTGAGAGGTGGGAGGGAGGGATGTGGGGTGTTGAGAAAGGCTGACGACTTGGAAACACTTCACAGTCTGACCAGCTGAACAAACCCAGAGAGCAAACGGCGCAGCAACAGCGTTCAATAACAACAACGGACGACTCGAGACTTGACCGTAGGAAGAGGCGGTAAAGAGGGGAGAGAGAACGCGAGCAAGCTGGTGATGTCGCTGTCTTACGTTACTTATATGATACTACCTGACCCAGTCGACTCTTCAAGGTACCTACCTACCTACCTACCTTACCTAGCTAAGATAGCTGGGCTCCTGGGCAAGGGGGGGGGCCAGCGAAGCTGCTACCTCTCCTCTGCTATCCCATTCGACCCTTACTTACATTGGACGGGCGCTACGTTAGTCTTCTTCGACAGACCTGAAACAGCAGCGTCCTGGCTCGAGCCATGCTCTAACACGGTAAGGCTGCCCGGCCCGATGCCTGCCCACCCCGTTTCGGCCGTCTCCTGCTAGACGTAGCGGGAGAAGCCAGGGGAGTTAGGCCCCACTGCCCTAGAGCTTAGCGGACGACCCGAGTGTCATCGAGGAAACAATGCGCACGCACGCCTTCCAGTGAGATGAGCCAGCTACGCCACGAGCGCTTTCGGGATGCGCTTTCTTCACCAAGTGGTCGATACGAAGTGCCTTCAATATTCATTGACAATGCTTTGTGACAATAACCAACTCCTAGATAGTCATAACTCAGACAGTCTTATCCCGCAGTGCCTCCCTATGACTCCATAACACCCTTTCCATCTCGCTATAATAAATCCTTCAACCGTGCTGCTTCAAACATTGACTTTTGAGCCTAGAGGCTTTCGAGGGTTCTGCTCCACCACGAATCTGCCCTTGTCATCGCCAATCTTGCGCTTGAACATACTCAAATCATTAAGCAGAGTCTGCATATAGTCCTGCATGTCTCCAGCTCGCTGCTCGTAGTCCTCAGAGTCATACGCCTCGTCCTCATCATAGTATGCCTCGTCGGTGTTCTCCTTGTCGCCCTCCTTCAGGCCTTCTTCTTTGCCTCCTGAAGTACTTGGCCGGCTGCTGACAGTAACAACAGGAATGGGATTCTTCAAACTGTCGAGCGCGAGCTTCAAATGGAGTCTCAGAGCCTCGTTCTCAGTTTGCAAGGACCGAATCTTCGCCTCGGCGACCTGACTGCGCTCCTCCATAAGGCGCTGCATAGCGACAACACGGTTCTGGTACTCCTCCAATCGCTCTTCTTGCTGCTGAGCGTCCTTCTCCCGCCGTCGGCTGTCTGACACGGACAATTGCAGCACGCGGATCTCTTCTGCCATTGCCGCAATCTGTGCATCCCGTTCGGCCGCCGATATGCTGTCTTGGTTGACGACAGCCCGAGTCCGGATGCGTTTGGCCTGATCGGCGTATCGCAAAGTTGACAGTGTTTCTTCGTAATCAGATGGCGCGATGCAGGCTATCATTGCTGTCTTGGAGTTGCCTCCCAAAGAGTCCTTGAGCAACCAGGTTAGAATCGAGTCTCGATAGGGCACAACCACGTCTTTGCTACCCCCACGTTTGCCTGACCGTTGTGATTTGGGGTCTGCAAGAGCGGCAATGACTCGACCAAGAGTTGTCAGCGACTTGTTGATGTTGCTACCCTCACGAAGTCGCTGTCCAGTTGCCTCGGTTGCTTTGGCACGCTCACTACCTGCCAAGTCGACCAGTCGAATTCGTGAACTCCGCTCTGTAGTCTCATCTGTTTCGATATCGTGGTGAATCTGCTTGAGCATAATGGTGAAAACGGCATGGCTACGACTGGAAGTGTCATTCATCTTCGTTGACGCTGTGGTCCTCGAGGAATCGCCCATCTTCATGAAACGTAGAATCTCATCGATGCTGCGAACAGGCACTTCGGTCAGATCCTTGACATACGGCCCCTCGGTAGGTGACTCCCGAATCTTCAGATAATATGGCGCCTGGTTTGGAACAACTGGAACAAGCAAGTCGCGCACATGCTCATTGTAGACTTCGAAATAGGACACTCTGACGTTGTACGAAATGTTTGGCGTCTCGTTATGTGCTGCTTCGATGCGCTGGAAGAGATCCTCGCACGTCCGAGGAATTAAACCGGGCTGATCTGGGGTACCCATCATGGTGTAACTCTTGCCGGAACCGGTCTGGCCGTATGCGAAGATACAGGTGTGGTAGCCCTCGAAGTTGTGGTCCAGGAACTCCTCTCCCAAGCTGTTGTAAACATGCTCCTGCTCGGCGTAGTGCTCATCTTTTCTGCTGTGACTCCAAAAAGAATTATCGAATGTGAACTTCTTCTCCTCAATGACCTTGCGCGACTTCGATCTGGTGTTGGCCGGGTCGTGGTCGTTGGGTACGAGCAGTGTCGTGAGCTGGCTGATCGGATCCATCTTGATTAGACATTCTGCCCCTCGGTCGATCTCTGTTGTGCCATCATGCATTAGTCACATGCTTCTATACTCAAAAGATCTCGCAGGAACCCTCACCTCGAGGCAAGAATGCCCTCACACGGACGACGACGCGCACGTTGCCTCCGGGGTCCATTCTGGCGTGCGGCGGCACCGTGCCATCGCGTGAGCGCAGCGATGGTGTTGATGCAGACGAGCGGACAGTCCGCACGTCGGTAGCAGACGACGGCATGAGCAGCGGTTCGAGCGAGATGCCTATCAATGTCTCGTATATATCATCAATGCTCTCTCGGAAGCGCAGACGTCGAGAAGCATGCATCTGTCTTGCCTTCAGTCGACGTAAGGCAGCACCCCGGTGTGAAGCCCTGCACTTGCGTATTGTTGACAAGGATACCGTTTATGGAAAGCGTAGTGGGGTCGTTGCCAGAGCAAAGGTCGCAGCGGAGGTGGGCGCGACTGGGACGTTTCCTTTAGTTAGTGGAGAACAGGGGAAGCAGGCGCCGTGTAGACTTGCCTCGCCTTGCTAACCCTAACCCTGGTTCCATGGAGAGGTAGCCCGACATTGGTATAGCCCTTAAAGGTCTGTTGAGTATTGTAGCTATTACATACATTTTATACATATCTAGTCTAAACATGCCCTGAGTCTAAAAATCGCTTTCGTCTAAGAAATTCCATCATATAGAACACCTACTCTTGCAATCTACGATCTAGGCCGCTGAAGTCCCTTCCCGAGCAGCTCGCTTCCAACTTCCTTGATGAGCGAAATGTCTTTGAAATGCTTATTCTTCTCTAATATCGTGCTCTGTGCATCCATCATTCTCAAAAGATCTGCCAGCTCGCCATCTAGTGGCATCAAATAGGCTAGCAAGCCTAGCGCTAAGAGCATGCCTTTCAATGCTTCAGGTGATTCGTTCTCTTGAGAAATAGCCTCAAGGACTGAAGCTGCCAACTCGACTTGATCGCCTTCTGGCAGTGCGTCATCACCTGGGCTGTCCCGTCTCTTGGTGTTGTTCGCTAGAGACAAGTTGAACAGTAGAGACGCAGCAGCCACCCGCACGTTGCTGTGGCCATCATCTAGGAAGCTCGCTGAGATGAGCTGGATGATCGGTGCCCTTAACCTGCCATAGCCGAGTATCTGGTCCGGATATAACTGACTGGAGAATAGGTTACATGCCATCTGAAGTGTCACCAGCCGAAGCGGGTATGGACATTCTGAGAGGCTGTTGACATAGTCAAGGAGCGAGATGAGGGTGTGATGCTCGTTCTCCTCTGCTAAGTATCCGCTGAATCTGGGATCAACAAGACCACACCTAAGCAGGTCGACGATCGGAAACATGACCTCTGGTGGTAGTCTGTGGGTTGCATCTTGTAAAAACGTGGTAAATGCAGCCATGTCTGGCAGGGGAGCTTCCGCCGGACCTTCCTTGGAGCGAGCCTCAATGAAGTGGGCGACGTCCTTCACGGAATCTGCCGCACTCCCCATCTTGGCCAATAACTTGGGCAGTGGCGGTACTTTGGCGAACAACACTGGCTTTGCGTGAGGATTGGCGAAATTAGGCAGATTCAACGATGCGTGGGGGTGTGTTGGCCATGCCATCTGTACCAGCAATTGAACATTTCCCCGAAGCGCCGCAGGGTCAGCTCCCTGCCACCTGTTTTCCTCTCTTCCGTGCAAGTAGGTGATAAAAGTGGGAGTTGCGCGAATTCCGTATCGAGCGGTGACATCAAAAGCTTGTGATGTGTCGACCTTGATCAAAACCCCCTTGTTGCCCACCTCAACGGCTAACTGGTCGTATAGAGGGTAGAGGGTCTTGCAGGGCGGACATGTAGCAGACGTGAAGAATATCACGGCGCACGATTTCTGAGCACTTGACAAAATCGAATCCAACTCCTGAGCGCTCGTCACAATACGAACAGCGGCGTCGTGATGGTGATATTGCGCCTTTGGCTTGACGGAAGCGGTTTGCGTACTTCCTTGGATTCCGAGAATGCCACCGTTCTGCTTGTTGGCAGCGATTCGTTGGTCCAGGGCCGGGAGGAGCATTCTTCCGAGGGGAGACTGAAGCACAGCGTCTGGCATGTGCAGGATGTGATCTGGGATTCCTTTGCCTAGGAGAAAAGTGGCGAGGTCATTTGAGAAGTTGTTGCAGTTGTGTTTCCAGAGGTTGTAAGCCTCGACAGTGTAAATTTCTCGCAGCGAGTCCAGGTACTCTTCAATGACTTCCATCGGTAGTTCTGTCTTCCCGAGAGGGATCTCCTGCAGAGGCCGACCGAGGTGAGAAGTCCCCGGAGTAATGGCGACGATGTTTCCGTCATAAACATACTCTCGGCCATTCAGCTTGATTGAGGTGTGATAGACAGCATCAAGTTGGAACCCTAGCAAGCCCGCCGACATCTCTCTGGCGAGACCACCAGAGAGGTCGTAGACCAAGAGCGTGACGTCGGACATGATCAGATGATACCCTGGTCAGGTTCAGTCTTCTGTATTGTAATACCCACGAGACGTCGAGTAGATAACTCGCACCTCCGAGTTGACAAGTCGTTGGTGCTAACCAGTGAGTTGTTGTAGGAACCCACGGGCTTATCCTCAAATGAGTTTCAGGCGTAAGGTTGTCCCAGGATGTTCGTGGGTTTATGTTATCTTTATCACCGTTCACTAGATACCTGTAGCTTACGCAGACTATATACGACACTGTTCGCAGCCTCCAGATCGCGCGCGGAGGACGGAAGGCAACTATCAGCCACGAGTTCTGTTCCAATTGTCAGCGTCCACAATGGAATGCCGGCGAATGGTCCGCCGGGGGAAGCGGCGCTGAGAGGACACCGGGGGCTGAGAAAGGGACGTAGGTCTACCTCCTTAGCGAGCTTAGGCACCTGGGTAGGTGGCGCTAACATTAAGCCGCCACCCCGTTGTGGGTCAGTGGACAAATTTGGACACTTGGCCAGGGGCTCTCCTGCAGCGGGAAGTTGGCACAGGCGCAGTACGTACAGTACACGCGCACCAGCATTGATTGACTGGAGATGGGCTGGAGAGAAGCGATAACGTGGGAAATTTGAGATTAGAATTTCGACATTGCTGGGCCAGTCTGCCTCCCTATTACTCTTCAGCCCTTCCTCTTCCCCACGATCAACGCCGTATCTTTGAGTGCAGTAACCCCTTTTCCTTCCTCCAGAACGAGTCAAGTCAAGTCTGGTCTGGTTTTTGATTGATAGTCGACGGATGGTGTAACCTTCTTTCTCTCTAGTCTTTTTTAGTCGGGCCCCTCCATTCTTGTCTCTCGCTACACCTTACAGTTACGGTACTGTACTGTACTCCCTTTTCTTACTTCGCCTCTACGTGGCAGTTGGATGGGTCGCGTGCTTGATCACCACCCTTCTCCCTCTCGTTCTTGAATCCAATTCATTCCCTCCTCTCCCTTCCTCCCTATGCGGCGTACGTCGGTCTCTCTGCCGACCAAGCACGTAGCACACGATCCCCACGAGAAACCCGCTCGATACCACCCCGACGGGCAAGCAGGCATCCTGGAGAAACTCAAGGCAGGCATGGCGTCCCAGGCCCAGAAGACGCGCTGGTTCAAGACCGGCGCAATCGTCTTCCTCGTCTTCTTCCTGTTCTACTACTTCTCCCCCTCCGGAGTAGATCTGTACCATGGATCAGGTATGAATTGTGAATCCAAAGAAAAGCAGAGGACAACACCGCTGACTCAACGCAGGCTCCAGCTCTGATGGCCAAGTGCCTTCCGATTCGTCTTACGGCACCGACCGATGCACCAAATCGAGCTCCAAGGACAAGCCCATCGTCCAGTATGTCATGATGATTGACGCTGGCAGCACTGGATCTCGTATCCATGTCTACAAGTTCAACAATTGCGGTCCCACGCCTGAGCTGGAGTCTGAGATCTTCAAGCAGACAAAGAAGATTGACGGCAAGAGCAGTGGATTGAGTGCATACCCTGATGACCCCGAGGGCGCTGCGAAGAGCCTGGATATCTTGATGGAGGAGGCCCTTGCAAACGTTCCGGATAAGCTGAAGTCCTGCAGCCCTGTTGCCGTGAAGGCAACCGCTGGTCTGCGACTTCTCGGCCCTGAGAAGAGCCAGCGAATCTTGGACGCCGTGAGAACTCACCTCGAGACCAAGTACCCCTTCCCGGTTGTGTCCAAGGAGGAGAATGGTGTTGCGATTATGGATGGTTCTGACGAGGGCGTCTACGCGTGGATCACCACAAACTACCTCCTCGGTAACATTGGCGCTCCTGAGCATACCGACACTGCGGCAGTCTTTGATCTTGGCGGTGGCTCAACACAGATCGTCTTTGAGCCCAGCTATAAGGGCCTCACCGCCGGCGGACTTCCCACCAAGCTGGCCGAGGGTGACCACAAGTTCGACCTCGATTTTGGCGGCCGACACTTTACTCTCTATCAGCACTCGCATTTGGGATATGGCTTGATGAGTGCCCGTGACGCTATTTTTCAGACTCTCATCAATGATATCCATGAGGTTAAGAAGACCGACAGCACCTGGACTAGTGCGCCTGTCGTCAACCCCTGCTTCTCCTCGGGCATGGCCAAGACCGTCACTGTCAAGCTTGGTGCGGACCACCCGCTGGGTGAGACACGTGAATTCAACATGACGGGGCCTTCCGCTGCTGCTCCAGCGCAATGCCGCAGCCTGGCGGAGAAGATCTTAAAGAAGGATGCTGAGTGCAAGCTCTCTCCTTGCTCATTCAACGGTGTCCATCAGCCTTCGATTGCTAAGACCTTTTCCAAGGAGGACATCTACTTCCTCTCCTACTTCTTTGACCGTACCGAACCCCTGGGTATGCCCGAGTCTTTCACCCTGCGTGAGATGCATGATCTTACAAGCAGGGTATGTGGAGGAGAGTCCAGCTGGGACGTCTTCGATAGTGTTCCCGGCGCCCTTGAGGAGCTCCGAGACCGCCCTGAGCACTGCATGGATCTTAACTTCATGCTTGCTCTGGCTCACACCGGCTATGAGATGCCAATTGACCGCGAGGTGAAGATCGCCAAGAAGATCAAGGACAACGAGCTTGGTTGGTGTCTGGGTGCTAGGTAAGCCGATCTCCCTGCTTCTTTCCTTATGCTAGAAAGCAAAGCTAATCACGCAATACAGTCTGCCCTTGCTTGAGAAGGGTTCTGGATGGACTTGCAGGGTTACTGAGATTCATTAATGAACGAGCGACGTAAATTTGGGCAACTAGACACATCGGCAATTATAATAGTAGTGGGCATCGTCCAGTCTGGACGCGGCGTTTGGCGGTCATTTCACATGTATCATATGCGGCCACTTACCTTAGAGGTTGGCCTGGGACTGGTGTAGTATCAAAATTTGCCTAGAAAATCAACTAGACATGGAATTCAATGCGCTTGTTGAATAAGACTAAACTCAGCGGTTGTATGTTGTGATATGATGTTAGACCGGTGCGGGAACCATCCCAAGCACATCTTCGATGACCTCTTCCGGTCCAACGTCTTCCAGCAAAGCTTCAATGGCAGCGAGTTCGCTTCCCCATTGCATACTCCTCTCCTTTTCCGGCATCACAATCTTGATGCGGTGTAAGTAGATCTTCCTTGCCGCAAGAGCGACCAGCGAAGGTGTGACATAGTCCAGTCTATGCAGAGGAGCTAGACACTTCATCAGCTGCTCGAATTGCCTCGTAGCTGTTGGCGTTATCCCGCCGGCCACAGCGCGGTGCATCCTCAGGAACGAGACGATGTTCATTTGATATCGCAGCACATCCACATCAATCTGCACATCCTGGCTCATCTTGGCCAGGCACGCAATGTCGCCCTCTGAGAAGACCGGCTTGCTCAGACCTCCACCATCCCGCTCGACTGCTCCCTCGCCTCCGTGCCAGCTTTTCTTCACCACACTCTCGGTGCTCGCTGTCTCTGAGCCGAAGTCGGAATCTTCTCGACCGGTGCCATACTCTTCGTCGAGATTTGCAAATCCATCATCCGAGTCGTGCCAATGTGCAACGTAGAAGAAGTCGTTCAGGTGCGGCGTGACGCGGGCCTGGCCGCCAGAGTCGGCGCCGAGGACTGCCACGAAGAGGAACTGCTTCGGGGCCATCTGCACGCTGGTGCGCGTGAAGATGCGCTTCGTGCGGAGCAGTTCGAGCGCCTGGATTTGCACAGCCCTGGGTGCCCGGTCGAGGTTCTTGGCGAGCACTACGTTGGCGATGTTCGCCGTGGGCACGCTCGGACTCAGTGGTGTAGGCGCGGCTGCCGCTCCTTTCGGGTGGCCTGGCTGCTGGTGGAAGTAGGACTCTCCATGGCGGGTGAGGTATGGTGAGTTGGACCGCGGACCTGCAGATGGTGGGTGGAGGAGCAACGAGGTCGCGAACTCGTCGAGGGTAGTGTTCGGCGTGCAGTCGACGACGGCGGGCTTAAGACCGAAGGTTTTGGTCGATATCTGAAGTAGATGAGTTAGTATTGAGAGCTCCTATGAAAATCGGCTTAAGCGTACGAGTAGCAACTCTTCAATCAAGTCGTCGAGGGCATCCGGCGGAGTGCTGATCAAGCAGTGCTCCCTGCTCATCAACGACAGCAGAGCAGCAAGCTCTATGTCGCTTAGGTTGTGCACCTTCTTGAGGACATTCTCATCCGCCATTGGGAGAAAGGCTCGCTTAGCCAAGATCCATTGGTCTGGAGCCTCACAGCATCTCAGCCGATGCGATGGCGTTCTGTATCAGGATGAGTGACCACAGGTCGAAAGTGTACAAAGACGTCGGGGCACCTAAGATCAGAAAGCAGATGACAGCAGCTGCGCACGTGCCACCTGCGTTATTGATAGCGCTAAGCGTTGGGATGCAACACTTGAGCAAGTGCGTGATTGGCCTAGAGGCGCTAACCTGGTAACCTGGTGCCTCGCCGGGAGCTTTATCGGCGGTGGGTGCTTCTGGACCTTCGTCACTCCTCCAACCCAACGACTGACAATAACCACTCCAGCCCCCGTCCTGCTGATCTACTGACTGGAGCTGCCTGCTCTCAACGAATTCACTTGATCGCTGCGCAATCGCCTTGGCTCAGGGCTCGTTTGCATTCTAAAACATCTAGCTTTCCTGTCAACAAGCGTCCAAGTAGCGGACGTCACCGATACACTCCTCCGCCCATCATGGCTTCCAGGAAGAAGGTCCTCCTCAAGGTACCAAACATTCGAACTCGCCCACATTGTGTCAAGGACCATCCTAATTGAAGCAATCGATAGGTGATCATCCTCGGCGACAGCGGTGTCGGAAAAACGAGTTTGATGAATCAATATGTACGGCTCCCCCATCAACACCCCTACATGCAATATGATCCATGACGAGGGCGGGGTCTAACGTATGATTATGACGACAGGTCAACAAGAAGTTCAGCGCAAGCTACAAGGCTACGATCGGAGCCGACTTTCTGACGCGAGAGGTGCTCGTCGATGACCGGCAGGTTACGATGCAGGTGCGGCACATTCTCCGATACTCAGATTCAGGACTATGAGGTTGCTAAGATGTACATGCAGCTCTGGGACACCGCCGGCCAGGAACGTTTCCAGTCGCTAGGTGTGGCTTTTTACCGTGGTGCAGACTGCTGCGTGCTGGTATTTGATGTCAACAATTCCAAGAGCTTTGATGCACTGGATAGCTGGCGAGACGAGTTCCTGATCCAGGCGTCACCGAGAGACCCCGATAACTTCCCATTCGTATGTCCTATTTGTAAAGTTCGCATACGAAGGGATCTAACTAACTTTGGGGATAGGTCGTCCTGGGCAACAAGATCGACGTCGAGGAGAGCAAGCGAGTTGTACGTGATTTCGACGGTTGCCGAAGTTGAGAATGTCAGTTGTTGACGATATCACAGATTTCAACGAAGAGAGCCATGACATTCTGTCAGTCCAAGGGCGGGATCCCATACTTCGAGACCAGTGCGAAAGAGGCCATCAACGTTGAGCAAGCGTTCGAAGGTGAGCATCGTCCCATTTGGTGACTTTTGTTGTCTCTAACAGCAATGCAGTCATTGCACGAAATGCACTACAACAGGAAGAATCCGAAGAGTTCAGCGGCGACTTCTCTGACCCCATCAACATCCACATTGACAACGATCGAGATGGATGTGCTTGTTAAAGGCCATCTTGGTTCAGGACAGTGGCGCAAGCAACGGCGCGGCTGCTCTCCGTCGGGCCCTGCCTTTCCATGATTCTCCCTTCCCCGGTTGTACCATATCCTGTACCGGTCTTGTCTTGTCTTGATTTCTAGGCTGCAATTCGTTCATGCAGATTTGGGGTTTTTTGCTTTCCTGGCTGAGAGGTGGTTAAGATCCATAATACACGCCGAGCGTTTGCATGTGGAAGAGATAAGCCGGCCGACCATAGAGAGTCTGGTGATATCGTCTTCAGGATGCAGTAGATGGGTGCATTAATTCCCGGAGTATTCGAAGGTCAATATAGTATGCTTACATACATCGTACTCCTGCTTGCTCTGTGAACATTTACCTGCAACAGGTCCCTATCTAGCTTAGGAGCCTCATATATGGAATCCAGCACAATAGGATGTCTCCACTCGTGAGAAGACCTTACACGAGCTTTGGATGATTGAGTGACCTAAGCAAATGACCGGGCTCTTGTGGCTGCCTGCCTGCTGCAGTAATGTGGTGTTCTACCAAGGAATGGCGCAATGGTGAGACACATTGATGGCAATGATTGGGTGCTCTTCCCATTGCGTTGCTGTACCGTGCCTCGCGTGCCTGAGTTGGCTTGGCCCCTCCAAAACGCCCCAAGCCCAGCAGTAGTCAGGGGGGCACAAACACTAAAACACGACCCTCGCTCAGCCCCGAGGCTGCCCGCACCCGAAACCAACTAATTGTGTCCTCACCGTCGCAACGTCACTCTTTTCTATAACCGAGACGTCCTGGCCGGAAACCAGCAGACATCTGAAGCAGAGCTCCGGACGAGTCCATCCTTTTGGCTCGCTCATGTTCCAAGCAGCGGTCGACTTCGGCAGCCGGTGATGCCAACTTGTCCTCCGTTCCATGACACACACAGACACCCCTCCCTAGAACTCCTTATCGCGTGCCCTGCTTGCCGCCGACGGCACAGTCCGTCACGATGCCCGTAGAGCCGATGCTCCCGGGAGAGCTCGCACCGGACCATGAACATCACCACCATCACCAGAGGCGGTCACGCTCGCTGCGCGAACGGTCATCCTCCCGGAGCACGGGCGGACGATCGGGCCTGAGAGAGAAGCTGGGACTTGCCGGAATCGCGCGACGGACGCTGGGGATAACGCTTCTCCTGGTTACGGTGTTCTTGTGGACATTGTCGAACTTCCTCGCTAGTGTAAGTCTTATACATACGTATGAGGCATCTATGCAGACTGAAACTGACGATGATCTAGTCCATCTTCTCCGATAATACCTACAACAAGCCGTTCTTCCTGGTTTACTTGAACACGTCCATGTTCGCTATCTCACTCATTCCAATGCTCATAAAGTACTGTCATCAACATGGGGTATCAGGGCTCATCTCATCAGCGAGGGAATTATGGCAGCACCGTGGTGACTTTCGCAGACCACTTAAGACGCAGCAGGAGGAGGAGGACGCTACGGCCGGGGAAAGATTGCTCGTTGACGACGAGGGCAGCCTGGGGCTGATGGGCGAGAGCCAAGAGGAGGAGAAACTCAGCCTGCGAGAGACAGCCTGGCTCAGTCTCGAGTTCTGCATGCTTTGGTTCGTAGCTAACTACTTCGCCTCCGCATGCCTTGAGTATACGAGCGTGGGCAGCGTCACGATTTTGACATCGACGAGTAGCGTGTGGACGCTCGTATTCTGCGCGGTCATGCGCGTCGAGGGCTTCACCGTGCGCAAGCTGGTTGGCGTACTGGCCTCGCTGGCTGGCGTCATCCTGATCTCGACGGTGGACCTGTCGGGCGAGAGCGACGAGAACCGCGGCAACTTCCCGCACAAGTCACAGGCGCAGATCGCCATAGGTGACTCGATGGCTTTCTTCAGCGCCATCATCTATGGCATGTACGTCACGGTGATGAAGAGCCGCGTGGGGAATGAAGATCGTGTCAACATGCCGCTGTTCTTTGGCCTCGTAGGCTTGTACAACGTGCTTTTTCTCTGGCCTGGTTTCTTCATCTTGCACTGGACGGGCATTGAACCCTTTGAGATGCCGCCGACTGGGAAAATTTGGTCGATTATTCTGGTAAGCAATCGAAAATGAGATGTGCCTTACGAGACATGCATGTCTAACGACTTCGCAGATCAACTCGATATCGTCATTCGTCAGTGACATATCATGGGCATACGCTATGCTGCTTACAACACCTCTCGTAGTGACGGTTGGCTTATCCTTGACCATTCCGTTATCTCTCATCGGGGAAATGATCCAGTATGCGCAGTATGCGAGCTGGATATACTGGGTTGGCGCTGGTGTCGTATTCGTGTCCTTCTTGTTTATAAACCATGAGAGTCAGGAAGATGACGAAGAGGAGAATGACGACGTAGCAGAAACTGGATCTCGTCCCTCTGCTGTAGTATAATCACAGGGTTAATGGGTATATATTGATATTGATGCAATCAGGGAAGACTGGCGTTAGGTCTCCGGGGTTTCGGGCTGGGTTCTGTTACAGTACATGATTCTAGACATCTGTATACTAGGATGGATGATGGGATGATAGAATATGTTTTGCAGAGATCCATTACTTTGGGGTTCTGATGTGTGAGTGGAGTGACTCTTCACAATAAACGATCTTCACAAATTCGGCCCTACGTAATCGCAAGCAGGCAGTTGAATAAGTCGTTGTTCTTAGTCTCCAGCCTCAGGTTTCAAGCTGGCCCTGCTAGATCGAGATAAGGAACTCAAACGAGAGATCACTCTACAGAGAATCACTGCAAATGGTGCCGCACAGCTGCAATGTGACGTGTCGCATTACAGGACGCAGTGCGAGGTTCGGCACCGCAGTTTCACGATCAGCCTCAATCTTCCGAGCGGCAACTAGCAGCCGTTTTTGACGTAATGTAGGGTCCAGAAACCAGAGCAAAAAGACGTTATCTGACAATAGCGATGATACCTAACGTCCTGTCAAGAAATGGTGCATATTTAGTCTTTACCGGGCGTTAAGATCTGGATACCAATGGTTCGGAACACCTGCCGCAGATCTCCACTGTGTTGGGATGCAGATGAGAAGTCTAATTGACCCGGCCATTCCCGTGGGGGCTCGGTGGTAAGATGGCATTCTGCGCTTTTCGATGTTGGCGTAAAATTGCCCATTGCCCATTGCCCACCCGCAGCGATCGACACTCTGGCCCGCCGCAAGTCAAGATCGCCTCGAGTTGGGCCTAAGGCGAGGAGCCACGGCCATCCCTGTTGTGCAAGGGGCTAGCAGTGAGTAGAGCTGCTTAAAAGGTGCCCTTAGGTGCACATGGCCGCTCCAGAATGTCCGAATCTCAGGTCATTCCCCTCCCATTCTCCAATCTCCAGTGGGCTCCTCATGACTAGCAATGCTAGTTAGCGCCAGGCAAGCATCGCAAGGACGACCGGATCAAGTTTGAGCGGCTGGGTTTCTTGATTTGCGCCGTTTCTCGGGAGGAATCAGGAGCTACGAACATTTCCTTTGCTGCCGGTTGTTGCATTCCTTCTCTCTTTTCCTCTCCCTGTTTGTTCAAGGTTGTGATTCTGCATTTGCACTTCGAGGAAGTTGCGACCCATACGCCGCTTCCACTTCCTCGCGCCGTGTGTCTCTGTTGAGCATGTGGCTAGGGAAGGCACCTGCCGAATCCTCCTGTTCATAGTCACGAGGAAGTTGTGACTCGACAGAAGACTCCTGAGTGAATCCAACTACAAGTTTTCCAGCTCGCTTGGTTTCTTCACTTTCTTCAACTGCCTGTGTTATATCGCCAATATCCCTCCTGCTGTTTCTATATGAAGGAAGAAGGAAACCTCATAACATTCTTCGCAAGGCACAACCGCCGGACCAACCTAGATTGCTAGATTGCTACCTATCTTCCTATACTTCGTTATTTTGGACTACTTATGATCCGAAACCATTCTCAACACTGCCGTAGCCCTGCGCTTAGAGTAGCAGGAATAAGAGTCCCGACACCATGTCGACTCTTCCTGCAACGGGCCCACCGAGTCCCTCCCTGGGAGATGCCATAAACATAGCGACAAGATCAGTCCACGCAAAACTAAACAAGTTGATCCTATTGCGCCTCCCGTTGGCTGTACCTCCGCATTCTCCCACTCCTTCAACCTACGTCACTGGCTTATTGTATTTCGCTCCTATATACACAGCGTTTGAACGGTTATGGCAGCATGCCTTGGACGAAAAGGCTGCCGGAGTGGCGTGCCCTGAGGAGAATGAACCAAACGAACCTGTGGAACCTACTAGTACTCCTGCTGCAACGCTCAGTGTTGCCGACAGAGTGCACGCTACCGAACGGCCATCAGTCTGCTGTCGAAGGCGCGAGATTCTGCAGTATATGAAGATCCCTGGCCTCGCCCGCTCAAATCGACTGCGAGCGGACATCAAAGCCTTGACCGGATGGACGGATGAGGTGGTTGAAGAGCAGATTCGAGTTGCGACCAACACCGGCCGGCTCAATGATTTCATTTCACACATTGAGCGGTCAGTTACCACCAACTCACATGTCCTCATCGCCTACGCATGGGTTCTATATATGGCTCTATTCTCGGGAGGGCGCTTTATTAGAGCTTCGCTCGAGTCCCTCGGGGATGATTTCTGGAAAAGACTCCCAACACCCGTGCGTCCAAATATGATCGAATGCTCCCCATCAAAGTCCCAAGCCGAGATTGCCATCGCGCCGACGTACTCTGACGAGTCGCACCTCGAATCAGCCTATCTTGGTGCTGTGCCTTTAGCGCCCGCTAGGCATCATTGGACGCACCGATTACCCCTTGATTTCTTCCATTTCCCTACTCCAAGGGATGGAGAAGATCTCAAACAGGAGTTTAAGAAGCGACTGGCCGAAACAGAGACTCAGCTTACAGCTACCGAGAGGGACGATATCATCAAAGAAGCCGCGTCCATTTTTGACAATATGGCTCTTCTAGTAGAGCAGTTGGATGCCATTTGTGATACCCCTACTGAAGACCAAAGTACAGCTAATAGCTGGACAAACTACCTGACACCGCGATTGGGAACGAGACTGCAGGACAGTATCGCCGTTGCGAAAATCAGGGGCCTCAAAAAGAAGAGCGGGACAGGCGAGGGCGACGGAAGTTCTGAAAGTGAAGGTACTAGAACAGAAAGCTCCGATTCGACCAGCGGAGGAGAGGACAGCACGAGTGACATTGAGGGCAAAAACATCGAAGACCAAAATCATCGATTGCAGCATCGTAGCGACTCGCCCCGTGCTGTCCATTTTGGTACTACGCTACCTCGGCCAAAGAAGCTCGATACAGCTCAGAGGCATCACTTCTCGACTGACGGCGCCCTTGATGTGTGCCCTGTAGCCTTGTCGGGCTTGGAAAAACGCCAGTCAACGACAAATGTCTCCCGCTTGCCCGATAGCCTTCTATTACTAGGCTTTTTGTTGGTCACCCTAGGCTTTGTGTATATACGTTCCGGTGGCAGCTGACGGTTGTCAAACTTTAAACTTGGGTTCATTTGATGAGATAACGAGTCAGGATACACACACGATACCCTAGAGTAAGCATAGCGAAGAAGATGGATAGAAGGTTGTCTCTTTAGGTGGAAGGCGCTTGGGGTTTCCCGAGGGATAGTGAATTTCATTTGGGTATTTCATGTACTACCTTGAGACTTGAAGTCCAATACACACGCCACAACTCCTAGACTATGCTTAGAGAACAGCTCTATAGCAACAAGGGGCATTAGCTCCCCATAACCCATAATAGACTCAAACAGCTTTAACATGCCATGCTTTAGTTATGCAATGCATAAACGCCCCAAAGTGATATCGGACAGAGTATTGCTGAACGCAGCGAATTATACTCAAACAGACCCTATTATTCACGCCGTCGTCATGTGTATCACCACTCGTCCTCGTCAAAGTCGTCTCCCACATCCGCCCACCCACAGCCCCATCTCCTGCCCTCCGTCTCGCCACCGGTCCGCAGATCCGCCGCCTGGCTGCGGTCCTCGCCCCAGCAGCGGATCATGTAGTCGTCGCCCACGGTGACCAGCTTGCCGTCCCGCGTCCATGTCAGCGCGCCCACCTCCTTGTCGTGGCCGCGGATCAGCGGCGTGCCGTTGCGCACGATGGGGATGGTGTCGACGAGCCGCGCCGACAGGTTCGTCATGCTGTTCGTCCTGAACAGGCCCGGCCGCCCGCCGGCGGCGGCGGACGACCGCGTGGCGTGGGAGGCGCCGAACGTGGCCTCGGAGACGGTGGGGATGTACTGCCTGCCGGAGGCGAAGTCATCCTGGAAGTAGCGCTCGTCGGTGGGGAACACTACGGCGCCGCCGTCGCTGCTGCCGACGGCGAGCAGCTCGGACTGGCCGTTGCGCATCGGCCGCAGGGCGGACTTGATGTAGAAGCTGGTGGCGTGGAAGAGCGGGTGGCGGAAGCCGTACATTGGGCCGAGACCCTCCTGGGCGGTTGCGTACTTCCGCCGCGGGGGCTCCGTCTTGGAAGCAAGTTCAGGGGCGTGTCCCAGAACTAGGTGTGCTGTGGAGTAGGCGTAGACGGTGTTGTCTTTGCAGAGGGCGTAGAGACGAGCACCGTCAGTGCTGAGGCTCATCGAACTGATTCCGAAATGGCGCCATGAGGTGTGTGAGTCCGGAGGCGCCGTATAAGAAACGGGATTGCTCATCTTGTGCCGTGAGGTGTGTATTGACCTGATATCCCACAACTTGACGCTAGCATCTGCCTCACAGGCTGATAATAGCAAGTGTTCTCGTCCTGCTGGGAGAAACTGGATAGCGGTCACAGACACGTCGCTTATTCGGCCCTGGACCTCTCCTCGACTCGCTACATCCGCGTGGGTCATGCTCTGTTGCTGTTGGCGTGTCTGTCGCTGCGTCCGCGCATGTGCATCGTATATACTGTTGACGACGCATCCATTGGTGAGTTGCCGTGGTAGTCTATATCGCAGTGCCGATTCTCGCTCGATGATAGCTTCATTCACCGGCCCTCCTTTACACCTAAGATCCCATATTTGCACGCTTCCATCTCTGCTCGACGTGGCCAGAACACTCTTATTCGCATTTCCGGGTTGGAAGCGCACTTGTTTCAAAGATGCTGTATGATGCGCTAATATTGAAATTGGGGTCTGGGTCATGACATCAATTACCTTGCCAGTCTGGTCCCCCGATGCTGTCGCTAGTAAAGAATCATCGTCCGAAAAGGCGAGATCAATGACGGCATTCCCATGCGTTTGGAACGTTAAATGTATCTTGTCGAACCTGTCCGAGGTATCCAGCAATCTGATCCGGCCTTCCTCATCGCCAACTGCAACCAAACTGTTCGTGTGACAAGCTGCTGTACAAAAGGGAATACACCGGTGGGCTCCTTCATGGCTGGAGCAGAAGTGAACATCTGTAGGTTTACTGCAGAGGTCAGCCGTCTCTGACCTCCAGTCTGAGACGGGATATGACATGTAGGACCGGCCAGCACACGGCATTCCCCCGACTTCCCTCTGAGCAAGATGAGCACCCAGCCCTCGTTGCGTCATCGGCACAACCCGCCTGATAGGAGCCGCCTCCGGCTCTGAGTATGCATCAGAAACGTCATCGTCGAAGTCAGACAGGTCCGCAGTTGACTGGCTGAACTGTACAGACTCAATTGGGCTGAGCAACCCAGGCCTCGTGCCTGTGCCAGCACGAAGACTTGGTGAGGTTGGGAGAGATGGTGGTTTCAGTGGTGAGGACTCGGGAGTGTGATGGGTCTTCCGCCTCTTGACGACACGGGGAGTCGTAGACGACAGGACATCGTCTCCGATATTTGCCTCGGAGATTGGCTTGAGTGGGCTGGAAGGTGTCTGGTAGCGGTTGAGAGCCGGGGCGGTAAGGTCTCTCAGGGCTTTCCTGGCGGCACTGGGCTTGGAGGAGACTCTGGATCGCGGGGTGAAGAACCTCCTGAACTTCCTAGGTGTGATGGAGGGTAATCGGCGTTCCTTGGGAGGCGGGAGTCTTGGAGGCGAGAGGATATGGCTGTTCATGAACGAGCCGTTCTCATCCGGGGCTCTGTTCTCTGCCATGGTGCTGGCGCCTCACTAAGACAACAGAAGACGCTCGCTGATACCCGGCGCACAAGCTCCCTCTACCGACACAACAGGCAATTGAGATAATATCACGGACGAGAAACAACCATTATGATCGAGAGGAGAAGACACCAGTTGAGCTCGGGCGGAGAGGGAAAAGTCAGTGGCGGGGAAGAGCCCGCATTGCAGGGGATGGATGCTATAGCGTGTGCTTCCGAGACGCGCTGATGATGCTGGCCCGCCGGGTCCAAGACGCGCTGCGTACCCGCGACTTTAAGTGGTACTGGCGTTAGCGTGGGCCGAGGCGCTGCACCAGGCCAATCGCCACACGCGACAGCGCTGAAACCCTCCCGGGTCTGCTAGGCGATGGACAGGACTGTAAGACACTCGGGCAAAGATCGTCAATCCCCTCCAATAATTAGATAAAAACGCACCTCGAGCTGAGGATATGAAGGAGCCTTTGCAGTGTCAATGATATCATTACTTTACATATTCTTAATCTTGAGCATAGACTACCTATAAGTTAAGTGAGGATTAAGGTGATCTACCTATAGTGGCTGGCATTCGCCAGTTCTAGCGATCATGTTAGTGCATACCTTACCGTGTTAGTGGCCGTCCATCTTACCGCCTTCGAGGTTGAGCCCCCAGCCGCTTGCTTATCGCACAACCCCACCGCTCCTTATCGGCTGGCCGCAAAGAAAAAAAATTCGAGACTGCAGAGCGGCGGGCGGCTTGAGATAGAGACTTACATTCTCGACCACCACTGCGCAATATCCGGCGCCGCGTCCTTACTTCTTCTTGAGCCAACACCCACGTACTCACGATGGCGATCCAGAAGAAGCACGGAAAGGGTCGTCTTGACAAGTGGTACAAGCTTGCCAAGGAGAAGGGTTACCGCGCTCGTGCCGCCTTCAAGCTCATCCAGCTGAACAAGAAGTATGGCTTCCTCGAGAAGAGCAAGGTCCTGCTGGATCTTTGCGCCGCCCCCGGAGTACGTCTGAATCCTTCCTTCCACCCCGATTGATTTTCTTCGTGCTGACAGTCTCTAGTCATGGTGTCAAGTCGCCGCCGAGGTCATGCCCGTGGGCAGTCTCATCGTCGGTGTCGATCTCGCCCCGATCAAGCCCATCCCCAAGGTCATCACCTTCCAGAGCGATATCACCACCGAGAAGTGCAGAGCAACGATAAGACAACACTTGAAGTCATGGAAGGCCGACACTGTTCTCCACGACGGTGCGCCAAACGTCGGTACTGCGTGGGTGCAGGATTCGTTCAACCAGGCCGAGCTGGCACTGCAGTCCATGAAGCTGGCCACCGAGTTCCTCGCAGAGGGCGGTACTTTCGTCACCAAGGTTTTCCGCTCCAAGGATTATAACTCTCTACTCTGGGTGTTCAATCAGCTTTTCACAAAAGTCGAGGCCACCAAGCCGCCGTCGTCCCGAAATGTGTCCGCCGAAATTTTCGTCGTTTGCAAGGGCTACAAGGCGCCCAAGAGGATCGACCCCAAGTTCCTCGATCCTCGCTCGGTCTTTGAGGAACTGACGGCACCCACGCCCAACAACGAGGCGAAGGTCTACAATCCCGAAGTCAAGAAGAGGAAGCGAGAGGGTTACGAGGAGGGAGACTACATCCAGTTCAAGGAGATCCCGGCCAGCGAGTTCATCCAGACCACCGATCCCATCGCTATTCTAGGCAGCATCAACCGCTTGACTTTCCAGCAGGCAAAGAACGGTGATGTGGCCCTGGCGGCGCTGGACAAGCTGCCCGAGACGACCGACGAAATCCGCCTGTGCTGCCAAGATCTGCGAGTGCTGGGCCGCAAAGAATTCAAAATGCTCCTAAGATGGCGGCTGAGGGTGCGGGAGATTTTCGGCTTTCCAAACAAGAAGACCGCTCAGCCCGAGCTCTCGGAAGAGACTGCTCAGGTGGAAAATATGGACGAGGAGATGAAAATCCAAGAGGAACTGCAAGCTCTGAAGGACAAGGCTAGTTCAAAGAAGAAGAGAGAAAAGCGTAGAGAGAACGAGCAGAAACAGAGAGACATTGTCAGGATGCAGCTCAATATGGTTGCCCCTATGGATATTGGTATGGAGCAAGCTGGCCCACAAGGTGAAGGTGCCATGTTTGCGCTGAGGAACCTCAACAAGTCGAGTGCTGCCCTCAGTAGGGTAGCCAAGGGCAAGATGGTTGTCGTCCCCGAGGCAAAGAAAGACCGTGATAGTGGTATCGGCTCGTCCGGGGAGACAGATGACGAGAGTGACGAGGACGGCGATCGTCTGGAAGGAGAGCTGGACAGTCTCTACGACCAGTACCGAGAGCGGAAATCAGCATCAGACGCCAAGTACCGTGCTAAGAGGGCAAGGCAGGAACACGGAGATGATGAATGGGAGGGTGTGTCCGCAGATGAGAATGCTAGCAGTGATGACGAGGACGAGCTACAAGAGGAGAGCAGTGATGACTCTGAGACTGAGGATGGATTGCCTTCCGACAAGTCGCTCTTGACCGATCTTGACAAGACGTCGTCTGACAACAGCGGTCTGTCTAAGCGAGCAAGGAGTTTCTTCAACCAAGATATTTTCAAAGACATTCCCGGTATCCTTGATGAGCCGGCAGAAGATGAGGGAGATGCTGAAGCAATGGATGTGGATGAGGCTGAAGAGGTTGAGGAAGAGTTGGAGATCTCATCTGACGAGGAAGTGCCAGAGGTCGCACCGCCGAAGCAAAAGAAGGTGAAACAGGTTGAGATAGCGGTCGACGGGCACGACTCGGATTCGGAGGAAAGCGACGATGGCGGGTTTGAGGTTGTCAAGGACAAAAAAGACGATGAGGATGACTGGGAGGAAGAAGACAAACGGCGGAAGGATGGTCGACTTGGTAAGACCTCCATCCAAGCCTTTCCATGACCGACAATTTGCTAATGGCTACAGATATCGACATCATTACCGCAGAAGCTATGACTCTGGCTCATGAGCTAGCCACCGGCAAGAAGACCAGCCAGGACATTATTGATGAAGGTTTCACCAAGCATGCGTTCCGTGACAAGGACGGCCTCCCAGAGTGGTTCCTAGAGGACGAACACAGACACGACAAACCCCATAAGCCCATCACCAAGGCTGCGGCACAAGCCATCAAGGAGAAGATGAGAGCGCTCAATGCCCGCCCCATCAAGAAGGTCCGTGAGGCAAAAGCACGCAAGAAGTTCGCCGCCGCTCGTCGTCTGGAGAAACTCAAGAAGAAGTCTGATATGCTGGTGGAGGACTCCGGCATGACTGAGAAGGAGAAGGCGGACTCGATCCAGAGGCTGCTCGCCAAGGCGGGCAAGAAAAAGATGCGAAAGCCCGTAAAGGTTGTTGTCGCTGGCGGTGCCAACAAGGGCAAGGGCCGTCCGGCTGGAGTGAAGGGCAGATACAAGATGGTAGATTCAAGGATGAAGAAGGAAACGCGGGCATTGAAGAGGATAGCCAAGAGCAAAAAGAGGTAGAGATCCACGGCCTTGGATCCTTGGTCCAAATTAATAGCATCGGCGTTGTCTTGCAATAAGTATTATGACGCCATTTTCGTGATCTCCCAGTGAATTCCTGCAACGTCGATTTCCCTGTTATCATATTGAAGGATTCTGTGGAGCAGGAGCGATTATATCAGCCAGCTCAAAAATTAACAGAATGAATTAATATGCAGCTGCTCAGTAAAAACGGCGTAGTTCCTGGGGTGCTTCAGATGATGAGGAACCAAACGCTATGAGATGTACTATTAACATATAATCTATTCCTCGGTATCGAGCCAAAATCTTTGGTCCAGCAAGGTTGGATCATCTACATGCTCTATAGCCTGACCATCTTGTCAATGCTCTGTAAGGTTGTTGTAAAGTCGTTCAGTATGACTAGATATTGAGACGGTCACAAGGGGTGGGATGGAAGAGAAGGGTGTGATCAATGGCGGAACTTGAAAAAGACCGAAATAATAAAAGTATTGTAAAAAATTATACCACGGCGCGGAGTCGACCTAAGGTGCTCTCGAGGTTTGGAGGTTGCTGCGTTGTGGGCGAAACAGGTAAGAGATATCGCGAAGGGCAGATGTACCCAGTGTCAAAATATCGTCAACCTCTAGAACGACCAACAGCAAAATCAAGCCACAGAACCCGGAATATGGGTGGAAAAGGGACAAAAAAGGAGTTCGGAGCTTTCAGCTCCTACATCTCCTCCCCCGGGCTTGGGTAGGTCTCTAGTCGACGCCCGTATTTGCTGGGTTGTTGGATATAGTTTGTTGATGATCTATGATTTTTCCTCCGATCGACCACGTTTACAACTTCCTCCGATCGGCCACGTTCACAACCAGCCGACCACCGGGGCGTCCCCCGATGGTCGACAAATATTTTGGCCCTTTTAGAACCTTATAAGGGCTTTGCAAGTTTCCCATGCCCCCACCACCAAAACATCTGCCAGCACATAGTACCATTCACTCGCCCGTATGTTCCATTACTAGACTGTTTGCCCGACACCGTGCCTCACTTTCAACTTGATGCCAGCCAAACAGTCACCACTCGGTGAGCGCCATCTCCATCCCGACCACACACCCAACCATCAACCAACATCATCCTTGGCTTTTACCCGTCGCAGCCAGGATCACGCAGCTAACCAAGACCAACGACAGCAACACATAGAGCCCCAGTACCATGACTTGAGTTGAACACAGTTGAAAGACGTGGCGTCTTATCAGGTCACCTTGTGACGCATCCCAGCACACATCATAACCAAGGCTCTTTCGGTGAAGATATCAGCGGCACAAAAAACATACAGCAGAACATAGCAAAACACACGAGGGTCAACGGGAATTAACTTGATTTCTTCCTAAACCTGCCCTGTAGCCAACAACGATACATCTTCAGCTTGCGAGCGCGGTTCACTAATAACCGCCGATCAACGCCCAGGTCTTCGATCTCGAAGACAGCAGCGTTCTCGTCCCCTTCGTCTGTTGCTAGCTTGCCGGACCAGATGCCTGCCAGCTCGTCCTTGTCGAAGAAGTAGACCCGCGTACCGTCTCCGCGAACGTAGAAGTTCTCGTCGAGGTAGCGACCTTTGCGGAACCGGACCTGCGCGAGATCACCTCTCCCATAGTCGCGGAAGCAGACCTCGCCGCCGGGTCTGAGAAGCCGGTGCACGTTATGGACGGCCTTCTTCCACTGCGCCGGTGACAATGCGGAGAAGATGAAGATCAGCAGGGCGACGTCCACGGAGCCCTCCTCGAGGCCAGGAGGGAGGTCGTCGCCTGCGATGTCCCACACATCCGCTTGCATGTGCTCGGTATTGTACTCCTCGTGAGACCGCATGACATCGACGGCCTTCTTGGAGAAATCGCAAGCATGAACCTTGAGATGAGGGTTCTTGTTCTGTGCGAGGATAGGGAAGGCAGTGTTGCCAGCTCCAGCTCCTATTTCGAGGAGCGTGATGGGGCCGGCATCTTCCTTCGTTACCTTGTCTAGCACAGGGAACTCCTGTTGTAGCCACTTCCTGTTCTTGAAGAAGTTGGCGGTGTTGTTCTTGTAGAACTGATTCCAGAACTTTGCAGGATCATCATTGACTCTTTCTGTTGGTCATATTAGCCATGTTGTTATGAACAGGATGAAGCTGAACAGTAAGTGCTATATGAGAAGGCATATCAGATGGGAGCGAAAGATGATGGTACAGTTTGTCCTCATTATTAGTCGGATGAACTATGCATAATGTAAATCATCACAAAAGCCGGGGGTTTAAGTCAGGAGTAAAAGGAAAAATGCGTGACTCACTCCTGTCAAAGTCAGAGACGGGAGACTGGCGCTGCATCTCGTACTGCTGTTCAGCGTACTCTTTATACGTGTCGTCAGTCTCCACGTGGTCCCAGGCATTGAACTCGAAGACATCGTCTTGCTCGTTCAGATAGCGAGACCCGAACTGGAAGGGATCAGTCCTCTTCTGGTTGTACTGGGGGTCGTGGGACCGATGAGGAGGCACGGCCGTGACCGGATCCGCGACGATGTTCAGCGAAGACATCTCTGTCTCCAGCTTCTCCTCGGTGCCTGGTGAGGATGGCACGGCGGAAGGCACCTCTTCGGGTGCTGCAGTAGCCATGGCGTTGAGGTTGAGACTTGTCAGAGCTTCTTGTATAGAGCAGCTGACGAGTGTCCAGAGACTATCGAACTGTCTCTGAGATGTCGTAGACACGACGCAGCATGGTGTGCTGAGGCTGCGGTAGCTACAAACACCGAAAGAAAAGTGTGAGAGAAGATGCGAGTAGGTTAAAAAAAATTCTGGCCATCGAAATAAGTTTGGTGTGGCTCACCGATAAGTGTTCGTGGGGCTCGTTATCGGCTGTGGCTCAATTCCCTACCTAGTAGTACTGTGCGAATTGCGATTGTAGACTCGAGTGGGCCGAGGCTGCACATCAAGCTCCTGGTCCACTGACATCAACACTATTTTCTTTGATTCCAAGCGGATGGCGTCGAGGGGATACATCTTTCGGAAACCCACGATGATACGATAACGAAGCATTTCAGAGACGGTCAATTAGGACGAGAGCATGTCTTGGCGACCCAATTCGTCCTTTATAACACCTCCCAGCTTTTAGCTATTCCAATCTTCCACACCCCGGGCATACATGGCGACCAAGCTCCCTCTCCGAATCGCCGCACCAGTCCGGCCCCGGCCCTTCATCCGCCTCCCTCTCCCCCAGCAACGACGCACCTTTCTCTCCGAGCTCGGCAAGGCCCTGGGCGCCGACCCCAGCAAGCCAGCGCGCATCAACGTGTCCCGGACGCTACCGCACAGCTCCTGGGACCTGTACACGCTGATCGCCGACGTCGACAGCTACCGGGACTTCGTGCCGTTCTGCACGTCGTCGCGCGTGACGCGGTGGACGGCCCCCGACCCGCAGACCGGCCAGAAGTGGCCCGCCGAGGCGGACCTGACGGTCGGCGCCTTCGGCTTCACCCAGACGTACACGTCGCGCCTGCGCTGCGTCCCGGGCGTGTCGGTGGAGGCGCTCAGCGGGGAGGACGCGCTCGCCGGGTCTGAGACCGAGACCGAGGCCGGGCCCGAGCCGCTGCGGAAGACGGCGGCGAGCCAGAACAGCGTGTTCAGATCGCTCATCACCAAGTGGACTGTCACGCCGGTCGAGAAGGCGGCGGCCGCCCCGGGCGGCGGCGGCGGCAGGGACTGGACGGCGGTGGATCTCAGCATCTTGTTCCATTTTGCGAACCCGGCACACCAGATCGCCATGTCTTCCATGTCGGAGGAGCAGGCGCGTCGTATGATCGCTGCTTTTGAACAAAGAGCAAAAGAAATGTTTGGTCGTAAGCAGCGCTGAGGCGACTTAGATCTCTCGTACACTATCTCGACTTCCCGAGCAACCACTTGCGGCCAATACATACGTACCGCGTTGCTACGCCATGTGTTCTCCTACAACGATCGGCACAGGAGTGGCCAACTTAGCATCGGCCAGGATAGAAAAGCTTTGTACCACCACACAACTCACATAGGGATACTAAAAAAGGTGTAGACATGTAACATTTTGCATTTAGATGATAGACAATTCATGTAGACCCAGACACTGTATAGGTAGAACCAAACATCTACTCAACCCGTTTCGATCAAACCAGGATTTCAAAAGACTCTCCCCGTTTCGTGAAGTGTCCTTTGCGCCAGCCCGAGGGGTATTGTATTTCAGACCTTTCCTCCCAAAAGTTAGAAAAGGGGATACATCTGGGGGCCCAGGCCTGTAAGAACTGCTCCCAACCATGACAGCCAGCGTTCAACCATTCTCTCATTTCTTCACATCCCTCAATACTCCGTCGCAAATGCAGAAGAGGGATCAAATATCAAAAAAGAACTTCCCAGAAAAGAAACGATCTTGCCCCAAAAAAGAAGAAAAACGAAGAATAAAGGCAGAAGGGGGAATCCATTGCATAACCAAAATGCCCTAGGTATCAAGAATGGTCATCGAAGCATGATGTATGCAAGAAATGAAGTTGGCCGCAAGAGGAATCATGATCGCGTGATTAAATGGCGTGTGAGCGGAGATGTCAATACATGCGTCTATTTCCTCCTGTTTCCCATTTGTTAGAAGCGGACGATTGGATAGGTGATATGGCAGAACTACTCACTTCTTGCTGCTTGATTTGGCAGGTTTCCCCGAAAGGAAGCTCATAAAAGAGGTATCTCTTCCCTTCTTGTCGGATTTCTTGCCTTCCTTCGGAGGTCTGGCATCGACAACGTTCACGCCTTGAGGCATGGGCCGAGCATGCTGGGGCATTCCCCGTCCCAGCCAGCCTGGAGGCATTGGCGGCTGCTGGCCACCGCCGCCACCAGGGGCAGGCCGACCCATTGGCCGCATACCAGCGGGCATTTGCCCGTGCATGCCACGGCCTTGCATCCGAGGATCGTGTCCCTGACGCCGAAGATGCTCCATTATGCGCGGGTCCATCGGCTGGCCCTGATGCATGTTAGGGTGATGTCGCAAGGGATTCTTGTCCATCGGCCACATGTGCATCGTGATCGCCCAGTCGGGTTGGACAACCTTGTCCCAGACTGAGGGCAGAATGATCTCGCCATTGGGGCCAATCAGGTCGTAGTGGCCCTCCTGTACATGAGGACCGATGACTTCGACGTGCAAGAAAGCTTGCTTGATGAGCTCTTCCATCCCCTATATCGCAATTAGATTAGCACTCTTTTCGTAGACAGACTTGTGAGATTTTGAACATACCGTCCAGGTTTGACACAAGTGAAAAGGAAAACTGAATTTCCTTCCTACCGCATCCTTGAACTTGATGGGTGCCTTCTCCGCGCCCTTCGCAGCTTCTTCGGCCTTGGCCTTGGCCTCCTCCATGATCTTGTTTCTTAGAGCCTCCTCGGCCTTCTTCCTCTCCTCTTCGGCGGCGGCAGCATCCTCGGCGGCTTTCCGCTCGGCCTCGATCTTTTGTCTTGCCTCGAGCTCGGCCTTGAGCTTGGCTTCTTCCTCAAGCTTCTTCCTCCACTCCGCATCCTCAGCGGCCTTCTTCTCGGCAGCTTTCTTTGCGTCTTCCTCCGCCTTGATCTGAGCTTCGATCCTGGCCTTGGCCGCTGCCTCCGCTAGCGCGGCTGCTTCCGCCTCTCTCTTCTTTCGCTCTTCGTCCGCTCTCCGTTCAGCCTCGAGCTTATCCCGAGCGTCACGTTCTGCCCGTGCCATGGCCTCTGCATGTAGTTTCGCTCGCTCCTCCTCGGCCTTCTTCTCGGCCTCTATCCTCTCTCTTGCGGCCTTCTCTGCCTCGATCTTGGCCTTCTCAATCTCCTTCTTGGCCTCTTCTTGCGCTCTGCGCATGGCATCCATTCTCCTCTCGAAGGCGTCTTCGGCATCCTTTCGGATCTTCTCCTCGATCATGGCCTGCTTTTCGGCCTCTTCCTTCTTGGCTCGCTCGGCCTTGAAGAGCTCCAATTGGGCCTTCATCGCCTCAAGCTCCGGATCGGGCGTCTTCTTTGCTGGCGGTGCAGGGGTCGTGGGTGCCGCGGGGACTGGGGGTTCCGTGGGCGGAGGGGGAGGGGGGGAGTTGTACATGAACTGCTGCATGTGTGGTGGCAGACCGCCATAACCAGGCCCAGCACCTCCGTAATAGCCGCCCTGATAGGGCATCACATCGTAGGAGCCCCGGGGGTCTTGTCCAAAGTAGCTTGCGCCGCTCGAGTGATTCATGGGACTGAAGGGATTGTTATAATTGTTATATGGGACGACTTGTCCGCCAGGGTGGTACGGACCCGGCGGGTATGCGCCAACGACACTCTGGGGATATGCTGGCGCGTGGCCGCGTGCGCCAAAGTAGCTGTGGGCCGGGGGAGGCACCGGCGCCGGGTAGCGGCCATAGCCGTACTCGTCCGAGGCCTCGCTGCTTACGGTCTGCATTGGTGGTGGATTTGGTGCCTGGTAGGCAAAGGGCTGTCTCTGGTGGTGGCGATGGGGGAGACTGTGCCGGCGCGAAGGGTTGCGCGTGGGACGGCTAGGTGGGCGCCGCGGGGGCGGGTAGTCTGCGCTGGCTGAGGCCGAGTCGTTTGGGTCAATCTCGTCGAGATCTTGGCCCCAATCGAGATCGTCCGCCTGCGACGAGCTAAATTCCTGACTATCGTGGTCGTCGTCGTCGGTCAGCGAATCTGATCGCGAAGAATTAGGGTGATCTATAGTAATGGTGGTCCTTTGTCGGTCGCTGTGGTGGTAAGACGGAAAGGTTAGCAACTCAGCTCTGGCAGTTCGGGCACTGAAACAAGTGGGAGACCGGGGAAAATAGCCCAGACAAGGGGAGACTATGCGGCGGAGCAATGGCGGATTGGGGTCCTCTCGAAAGCGGCCGTACTTACGACATTGGGAAGAGCTGGCGGAGAGTACCCTTCACTCACGACGATCTGCGAGGAGAAGGCCGGAGTAAAGGTGTCCTTCAAGTAAGGAGAGGGTCGACTAGGTAGTTCGTTCCCGTAGCAGCAGCAGACTGGTACCCAGCTGGACGCCTCAAGGCTTTGGCTTTCGCGGGGCCGGCGCGCGCGCACACAAGAGAAAGAAAAGGGCGTCCGTGGTGGTAGCGACGTAATCGCAAGAGAGGGGTTGCTTTCTAGTATGAGCGACTGGGGCGGACAGACAGAATATTGTGCGAGCGACAACGGCGCGCTAGAGAGCAGGAAGTGTGTGGGAAAGAGGCAAGACTGTTTGGTCTGGTGATCTGACTGAGGCCAGCAACGAGTTTGGGGGCTCAAAAGTGAAGAGCTGGGCTGCTTGAGAGTAGGTGAGTGTGAGTGTGTGGTGGTGTTGGTGGGCAGCGCAAGAGATAAGTTGGCAGGGCAGGGGGGCTTTTGGAACTTTGGCTCTAGCCTAGGCAAATGCCTGCTGCTCCGGTAGTGATCAACAAGGAGGAGGATTGGGCTCGAAAGAGGAAAAGAAAAAAAAATTGGGTGGATTGGGTTTCGTCAAGGTTGTGCCGACGGTGCGGTGAAGAGTCTCAGGTGCGGCTAGTTTGGCCTTCTTTTGAGTAAGTCTGTCTGCCCTGCCTGTCTCTGTCCCCTTCTCTTGTGTATGTGTGTATGAGTACTGTATACTATACGGCACTGCTCGCACTCGCAGTAATTAAGCGGAAACTCGCGGGTTGTCCAGGTGCGTAGCGGCGTGCATGCTGCGATCAATCCGTGTTGCGCGCGTGTTGATAGGCCACTTTGGGCGAGGGAGGAGGAGCCAGAGGAGCCCTTGGGAAAAGGCGAGCAGATGACCCCTGCAGAGGCTCCCTGACTACACACAGTATGTATGGGGTACCTGGGAGCCTGGGTATGGACAGGGTGCCTAGACTCTGTTGGAAGGTTGTGCCGTGCGAATGAGACAGTCAAGTCAATGATGTGAGCGGAAGAGTGGGAAATTGAAATGAGATACCGTAATAGAATGGGCGCCGGGCTTCCAACAATAACACCGATGTTAAGCCCTCACTCCAGTTCTATATTGTGTGTGTGTGTGTGTGTGTAATATGCCATCAGCGAGGGGCTAGCTGGGCAAGAGGCGGTATGAGCCAAAGCAACACGGCAGCAGGAAGAAAGAGGAGGAGATCTGTGAGGTAGCATGTATGCACAGGAGAAGCAACAACAACAACAACAACAACAACAACAACAACAGCAATAGGAGGAGTGACGGATGACGATGCAGTCCGATTCAGGTCTCCGGAAGCACGGTACGGTACGGTAAGGTGCTGTTGTTGTAGACCAACAAGCAAATTGTGCAGCAAGTGGTCAAAGGTTGGTGGTCCCACAAGTGCTCTCTCTGTCTACAACTCTCCTCCAACGAGCCTTCGAGCCTCACACTCGTTTTACATGTACATGTGTCCTCCGCTTGGAAAAATGCACAAGAGGCACAATGACACATGCGAAAACAGACACAAGGTCTTTTGACCCCTCAGCAGCCCCTCTTCAGGTTTGGCTGGTCTGTTCTGTTGCCCGGCGGCCGGAAACCTCTTTGGGTTGCTGTCGCCTCCCTGCTACCCGTACTGTAGGTTGTTCCCCGCCCTCCCGCTAGGAGGAGGGAATTGGGAGGAGGGGCAAGGCGACCAGGGGCGATCCCGGCGCTCATCCCTTGCATCCCGGAACGGAGGGACTGTAAATAAATGACCAACATGGAATAGACCCTAATAATAATAAATGGAGGGGAGGAAAGAAAAAAATGCGCTTTGGGGATGCTGTGCTATGACAAGGTGAAAACATCATATCATACCTGCTGCAAATGCAGAAGAGTGAGTCTCGATGTTGACTCTTCAGATCCGTGGAGAGGGTGAGGCGATAAATTCCTTGTACCTCGATGGGATGTGCGGTGATGGTGGTGGATGCTGTGCCTGATCGATGCTGCGAGGCATACACCCGTCACCCCGTCAGTGCGTCTGATAGGCGAGTTCTGCCGTAATTAATGGATCGTCCGAGATCTCTGGGACCAGGTTGGCCCTAGGCGGGCTTGTTGTTGATCTTTCTGTCTCTATCTCTCTTCACCTCGTCCACCGCCTGGGTGGTGTTTGAGATGATGTCGACGAAAGGCCCAAAAAAAAAAAAGCCAGAGAGAGAGAGAGAGAGAGAGAGAAAAGGTTGTCGTGCCTCGTGCGGGCGGTGTGAGGGACAGCTACCTAGATAATGCTTCTACAAATTACAAAACTAGGTAGGTAGGTACAGTATGTATGTATAGGCAGGACAGGAATGTGCGGTAATAGGGTGCCTGGCCTATTATACGGCCGCCGTGTTGACACTGCCGGGAAGCGGGCTGTGGGTGATGTATCGGTTTTCTGTCGATGTATATGTATGTGTGTGTAGGTTTGTGTGCATGTAGACTCTGCTCTGGTGATGACGGTCTGCAGCCGACAGAATGACAGATAGACACCTACCTACAGTACAGTAGGTATCCAGACAGACAACTGACAAAACAGATAGACAGGCCTTGCTTCGCTTACGCTGAGGCGATGCGGTTGCCGGGGCAAGGTGCAGAGTGCAGAGTGCAGATGGGTACGCTAACCAAGGAGCCAAGTCGTAGTGCAGGCTGCGCTGGGCCAGAACGACTGAAAAGGCAGCAAATATGCTCCACCGCCGCTTCTCTGCCTGCACGCCGCCCGCACGTACTGGTACTGTCGAATGCGCTGTTGTCCCTCCAAGCGGGGCTCTCCAACGGAGACTCTTTGGCCTGATGCGACTGTGAGGCCGCACCGCTCTGGGGAGACTAGATCCAGTCTGGATTTGGCAGGTTTTCGCCGTAGGGCAGGATGCTCCCAAGGTGTGCAATCGATTCGTCCGGGGCCGCTGAAGATTTATGTAAGGTAAGGTCGCGTTGACGGAATGCCGACTGCAACGGACGATGAGAAGAGAAAGCACAGAACCTGAAAGCGTGATGCTGCAGCTGGGAGACCCTCTTTAGGACAGCAGCCTGTGCGTCTCGCCGCCTCGCTCTCTCGCTCGCTTCAATGGCCTCTTATGATCCCTCAGTTGTCGATAGTCTCGAAGTTCCCACATGGTTTATGATATGGTCCAGGAAGAGACTCTCGCTGTTGCTGTTCCGAGGCGGAAAACACCGGGGTTCAAGGGGCAGGTTCCGGACAGGGACTTCGTTGGCAGTCGTTGCTAGGACATTTGGTGATATGAGTCAAGCTGGATTACACAAAACAATGGTGGCCGTCTGAGTTTGAGATCTTCTACGATGCTGCCCGCCATTGGGACATGCGGTCTTAGTTATATCCTCCTCCTGCTCCCCTTGAACTCTCCCTCCCGGTGACAGCGTGCCTGGCAGCCACGATACCAACCTGCCAGTGCCATCCCTGGCCGACTTCCTAGAGGCTTACTGTGTCGAATGCAAACGCATCGACTGCCAAAGGGCACAGCTTCGCGAATGCCACAGTCGTATCAAAGACGATGCTGTCAGTGGAGCTTGCATATGCGGTTCTGAATCGAGACCTTTTCAAAGCTGCACGCAACATCTGACCAAGCAAAGCAGTATCAGTAGGGAGAGGTGTGGACCAAGGTGAGAACTGAGTAAATCGCAGCATCGAGCGAACTTGCACCAAGGTCAGTGAACGGAGATCCAATCAATCAATTGTGATGACAGCCTAACACTCCAACTTGCTTTGTGCCCAAAGAGCTCCTATGGGGTCTCGGGTATGCCCGCAAACTCTGATTGAGCCTCCTCTTTCCATTGGGCCTAAAAGTTGTACAGTGCTCCGCCATTTCGACGCCGTTCCGTACGCCTTGGGCCCGCCCACCAAGTGGAGCCACGTGCTGCGTGACCCGCACCTGCCCAACACCAGCGCTGATCAATCCCGCTCCATTACACGGTAAGGCACCAATAAAGCTTCTACTCCTTTCCAGGTGGCGTAGCCAGCCGACAGTTTCTGTTTGGTTTCCACGGTGGGCTTGACCGTGCCTTTGTTCCAGTTTTGCCAGAATCCGCTGTGAGTCACGGACTGATAGTTGTGCTGATGGTGCCCCTGAACTTCATCCGTCTGAACCCTGCAATCGCCATGGACCGGTCCTCACCTCACAACAGGTGTTGTTGCGTCCTTGGACAGAAGCTCTCTTGCGGCAGCGACCTCTGCTTCTTCATACCCACGCCATCCTCGTTCCTTGGCCGAACTGCGGCGGACAATCTCAGTCAGCTTGGCAGTGGCCAGTTCGTTCAATCGCTCGACAGTGGAATATTCCGGTAAGGCGAAGTCATCTGCGTCTGTATGCTTATTTGCCTTGACGGGCTCCTTCAGCCACTTTGATGTAACCTAGAACCGTCAGCAACAGCACAGCAGCAGAGTTCGCCGAAAGAGCCGGACGTTCGGAACCTACAAGTTTCAGGCCATAGTATCCGCGCAAGTAATCATCGCATAATTCAATACTCCGAGAGAATCTCTTCAAGGCCTCTGTGAGATACTTGCCCCGAGAGCTCTCATCTGCGCCTGATGCAGTTGCCGCCGCGTAAAGTATCTCCCCAAGTCGCGCATGGACCTGGAAGGATGTCAACTGCGATGACCAATGTGGCAGGCTGGACTTGACTCACATTCCACGCATTTGGTGTTAGAACCAATACCTCCTCGAGGGAATAGATAGCCTGCGCATACAGTCCCTGGGAGAAATAGATATCTGCCAGCTCCGCCCACGATTCGGCATCAGTAGGCGAGAAATCGAGGAGCCCTGTCAAGCCCGACACTGCCTCGGAGACGCGGCCCAAAGATCGTAAAAGAGCAACCCGGCGTTTCGTGATAGGCTGGAACAGGTCAACATGCGCCGATAAGCAAATAAAAATCCAGCTGACTAACAATATTTGTGTTGTCCTCTTTCAGTATCTGATCATACTCCTTCAAGACAACCTCCAGAGCGGCGTTGTCCTCGGCCTCCGCCTCCTTCAGCAGCCCCTTGAAGGCCATGATCCTCTCGTTATCATCTCCGAAGCGATTGACCAGGCGCTCAAGACATTGGTGGGCTGCCTGCTCGTCACCTGTCCGTAGACACGATAGGAGAAGATTCTCGTAGGTAATCCATAGTTCAGGGCTTTCTGATGCCGAGAACAGCGACTGAAACGGAGAGGAGGAAACGGCACCCGGTGAGTTCTTGAGGACAGCTGGTGCTCGTTGGGACAGCTCCAATGCTGCGCCTGGCGATAAGTGGCTTGGAGGATGTAGTAGTGATGGCGCCATTGCGTGTGATTAGAGGGCGGTCGAGGCTGGCTGGTAGTCGGGTCGGTCTGCTGGCGTTGTTGAGGGTTGTCGACTTGAGGTCGACGTTGTCGAGATGACCTAGCAAGCTCCCGTAGGTACACCTGGTAGCTTTGGAGCTAAATTGCCAGACCTAGGCCCACTGCGTGCTTCTCAATCGGTCTCATTTTCTTCCGACAGACCGAATGCACAGTGTCGGCTTGGCCCGTGTCACACAGTCAATGAAGCATGTTGCACTGTATTACGTGCACTGCAACACACCCCACCACCGCCCCAAGTGCTCGGCCAGCTTCACTATCATTACTGCCACCAGGAGCGTGACCGAGCTCGACGAGCAGCGACAGGTAGCAAGCATTACCAGCTCGTCAGCTTCGCTCATCCTGGACACAATGCATGCAGACTCGGTATCGATAGCCTTCATCTTCCGACAGTCCCTCCAATCCTGAGTAGAAGCAGTACTAGCTTAGGGACCACGGTCCCGCCCGCGTGTCACGATGTATGTCAATCAGCCAGTGTAGTGGCAGCGCAAGAGGCTCACAAGAGTTCAGGTTCGAGAAGTCGCTGTATGATCTCATTCGAGGTCTGCGGAATCATAAGGGCAATGAGAAGGAGTACATCCAAAACTGCCTTAAGGAGTGCCGCTCCGAGATCCGCAGTCAAGACATGGGTCCGTCCTTGGCCGAGATATGATGTATGGGATGATCTAAAGCTAATATGGGGGGTTTTAGATCTTAAAGCCACTGCATTGCTCAAGCTCATCTATCTCGAAATGTTTGGGCACGATATGTCGTGGGCTTCTTTCCATGTTCTCGAGGTCATGTCATCTCCGAAATACCATCAGAAACGAGTTGGGTACCTCGGCGCTGTCCAGACTTTCCGGCCGGATACTGAAGTATTGATGCTGGCTACCAACCTCCTGAAGAAGGTTTGTGCCTCTTCTCTTTCAAAGAGGCCGATCTAATGCATAATACAGGACCTGACCTCGACTTCGACAATCACCATCTCTCTCCCGATTGCTGCCCTTCCTCATATCATCACTCCATCCCTCGCTCTATCAACGTTGACAGACTTGTTGCCGCGACTGACACATTCGAACCCCGCGATTCGGAAGAAGACAATTGTGACGCTATACCGTCTTGCGCTGGTATACCCCGAGACACTACGCGCAGCATGGCCTAAGATCAAGGATCGTCTCATGGACCGGGATGAAGATCCGAGCGTGACAGCAGCCATCGTCAACGTCGTTTGCGAGCTGGGCTGGAGGAGACCACATGACTTCCTTCCTCTAGCACCTCGATTGTTTGAGCTCCTCGTAGACGGCGGCAACAACTGGATGGCGATAAAATTGATCAAGCTGGTTTGTGAATTTCTCTGATGCACAAACAAATCCAACGTTGACCAGATCTTAGTTTGCTACTTTGACCCCCTTGGAGCCGCGCCTCGTTCGCAAACTCCTGCCACCGCTCACTGAAATCATAAGGACAACTCCTGCGATGTCATTGCTGTACGAGTGCATCAATGGCATTATTCAGGGTGGTATCCTCGGGAGTGCAGATGATGTGTCAGGGAGAGAAGAAATCGCGTCACTATGTGTTACCAAGCTACGGGGTATGATAATGACTGATGGCGATCCTAACCGTAAGTTTTTTGAGACTCCTCACTCATAGCAATACTAACAAATGCCAGTCAAATATGTGGCTTTGCTCGCGTTCAATAAGATCGTGGTCACACATCCATATCTCGTGGCGGAACAAGAAGATGTCATAATGGATTGCATTGATAGTCCAGACATTACAATCCGCATCAAGGCTCTAGACCTCGTACAGGGCATGGTCAGCAGTGACAATCTTGTCTCGATTGTGAGCCGCCTCATGCGGCAGCTAAAGAACTCTTCTGGCAAGCATACAGCTTCCAACGAACAAGACGCAGTGTATAATTCCGATGATGGGGCCGACGTAGCAATCAACCCCTCTGCAAAGGAAGCCGAGCAGGCCCCGCCTTTACCAGAAGACTACAGGCTTGATGTCATCGGGAGGATTCTCGAGATGTGCTCTCAGAACAACTACAGCAGCTTGGTTGATTTCGAGTGGTATATTGATATCCTAACCCAGCTCGTGCGAACAGCACCAATTCCTCGTTCACAGGACGCGAATCTTGAGCAAACAATGGCAACAACGAAACTTTCGTCCGGCGATATTTCCGAAAAGATTGGTGACGAGCTACGAAGCGTGGCCGTCAAGGTCAGAGCTGTGCGCCCGGCTGCTCTCATGGCCTCCGAGTTGATATTAAAGCACTTCAGCCAAGAATCATCCGCCACAAATCCAATTACATCTGGAGCAATCAGGCCTGTGTCTTGGGTTGTTGGAGAGTATGCCGACCAACTGTCATCACCCGAGGATACCTTGAGCTATTTGCTACAGCTCATTCCGCAAGCAAAATACCCCGACGTGATCACATCATGTTTGCAGGCCATCATCAAAATATTTTCCCTGATCGCTGGAAGTGATTTGGGGGTGTGGACATCAGAGCGTAAAGCTAGAGTTTCGCTGCTGCTGGCCCGGGTGATACATGTTTTCGAGCCTCTTGCATCACATCCTAACTTAGAAGTTCAAGAACGGGCCGTAGAGTTCACAGAGCTTCTGAAACTCACCGCTGAAGCGGTATCGGGCCAACCCGCATCCAATGACGAGCTCCAACAGGACGCTCCCTTACTTCTAACTCAGGCTATTCCATCGCTGTTCACCGGATGGGAGCTAAATTCCGTAGCTCAAGGCGCCCAGAAGAATGTTCCGCTTCCTGATGGGTTGGACTTAGACGAGCCCATACATCCAAACCTTACTAACCTCCTATCTGAAGCAAATGCGCTGACTCTTCCGGCTGAGGATGATGACGAATTCGAGGTATACTACCACCAAAAACCCCCCGCTGCAAGTATTGCCTCCAACGAGCCAGCAATCAATCGCCTTGCAGATGCACCCGAAGAAGTCACAAGCTCGTATCAACAAGCTGGTGAAGAGAGCTATCTTGATCCAGATATTTTAGCAAGACGACGAGCAGAGCGATTGGAGAGGAATCGTGACGATCCTTTTTATATTGGCGGCAGCGGCAGCGTGCCTGGCACCTCGACCCCTATCCACAATATTCTACAGAACGAGAACGGGGAGAATCTCGACATTGACTCGATTCCAATCATGCAGCTAGACTTGAACAACCTCTCTAAGAGTGTTGATGATACTGCTGCGAGATCACGACAACCTGTGCCCAGACCTCGGCCACGGCAGAAAGTAATCATCGCGGCGGATGAGAATCTGGCGGGCAGTGGGCTCTCCACGCCGAGAAATTATGAATCAGAGAACAACTCTGACAGTTTTTCTAAGTCGAGAGCCAAAAAGCTCAAGCAGTCATTACTACAAGTCGACTCGAGTCACATTGGGTCGCTGAGTCTCGAGGGGAACCAGTCTGATGGCGGCTACGACTTTGAGCAACAGAAACGTGAGGATGCAGAGATGGCACAGGCAATGAAGGAAGTCGAGAGGTTGAGGCTCGAGATGCAGCGGGCCAGTCAAAGAATACAGGTCGCACAAGGGGTGCCAGTGGAAGGTGCAGTGGTGAAGAAGAAGAAGACCAAGAAACCCAAGACGGAAGACGGCGAGGCCGTCGTGAAGAAGAAAAAGAAGAAGAAGCCGGTCACCATAGACGATGGAGAAGGTGCCAGCACTCCCTCGGTGGAGGGGGAGGGCGTAAAGCCTAAGAAGGAAAAGAAGGCAACGCCCCCTGTCGAAATACAGGAATCAGTGTAGATATCAGCTCGTCGATCTGCATATAATCGAAATGAAAAGTATCAACGTCAAACCGCTTTGTTTTAAATCTAATAGTATTCTATGGAGTCGTGCAAACCCCGTCACGGCCCTTTTCGATCTATCTCAGCAAAGCCTTCCTTCTCTAACGCCTTTGAATCCTCATCCGGTATCAGTGGCGTCTCTGTCATATCTCTGGGCACTCCCGGCAGACTTGGCGCCGCCGTGTCAACTTCGCCGCCGAATTTACCCCATGCAGGCTTGTTTATCTTCTCGTCGCTGGCCTCGCTCTTGAAGTGATAGCCCCTGGCACGCGGCCTCTGGCCCATCCCGGCGGGGAGGTCCGGCTCGTACACCATCGCGAAGCGTCTGCAGTCTTCCTCAAACGCCTCCGGTCCGCGGGCAAGCGACGCCCGGATGTCGGCGAAGAAGTCCGCTAGGACCTGGTGGTTGTGTACCTGCAACAGTGTCCAGGCAAGCATCTCCCGCGCGTTCAGGAGGTGGTTCAGATAGGCGCGATGGTGCTTTTTGCAGGCGTAGCAGGAGCAGCCTTCGCGCAGTGGCTGGAGGGCAGCCTCGTTGTCGGGCGAGGTCATGTCGTCGCCCAGGGGCAGCATACCGTTCGCTGAGCTTGGCGGGGGAAAGGTAAAGGCGAGGGCGACACCTGCGTCGGAAATGGTGTTGATGAAAGGGGGAAGGATTACGTCGACTCCAAGGGCGATCTGTCGTAGTATTTGGTGCGGTGAATTAGGCAAGTCGAGGGATAAGCGTGGGAGTGGGAGGAGAGACGGGTAGTCCTTGAGGTCAGGGATGATGTCTACATCGTAGATGGCAAGGCCAGAGATGCTGCCTATGAAATCGCTAGATACACGATTTAGGTATTCCCACTGAACGGGGTATGGAACAGGCAGTGTTGGGGCGAACACTGCAATGTCAGAAGGTTTAGTGTCGTCTTCAAAAGCCCTCGTCCATTCATACATCCAATCTTCGGTCCGCTCAGCCTGACGGACTGCGCGACTAGACTGGGCTGTTCTCGTAGCCCCATAGATGATGTCTGCCAGAGGAATTGCGATATCAGGCCTTAGGGTCTTTGTGTTTGAAATGTACTCCTCAATCGTTAGATTCTGAAAACCAGTGGATGCGAATATGTTGATAAAGTTATGACCGTTTCCCACTGCAGGCTTTACAGCTGGTATCCGTCTAGGTCCAAGCACGGTGACGAGCGAGGATGACTGAGATGTGAATGTGTGAAGCAACCTGCGATCTGGCTCTGGTTTCGTTGAGAAGATAGGGGCTACGCTCTTTGGATCCTTCTGAGACCGTCCATTGACTGGAAACAAGTCAGTTCAGATTCGTGATGAAACCCCAACAGATTTACTCACAATCCTCCAGAGCCATGTAGGCACCTCCGAAGTGGCCATACTTGGCAACATTATCGGGAGTGATATGAGGAACCACCCCACGCGAGGTCACTGCGAAGAAGTTGGGAGTCTCGATGGGTGTGCGCTGTGGAAATGCCAACCGCCCCAGCCTTGCTGCTGTCCCGTCCCCGACAGCCGATCGCAAAATCTCAAAACGCATTCCCTCGACGCCTTCTGAAGCACTCATCATGCTCTTGGTGCGGGCTAGCACAGCTCATAAACTGACATCAGCCGAGATGTGAAGAGCATGAGTCAGTGTAGCCCCAGAGCTCGCCGTTGAAGACTCGATGTCCTCGCCTCACGACAGCCTTTTGAATTCTTGAATATTTCGGGAACACTCCAAGTCACTAGACTCTGAAAATATATCATACACCGAATATTGGAGGTTCTTGTCACATATAAAATCTGAGTCTATATGTTTGCTGAACAGTTCAAAGTGTGGCTGATTTAGGCTAGGTTAGCCACAGCTTTGAGCCGCTAACTAGCGCCGTGCTGTTCTGTGGGTGGGCTGGTGGGCTGGCCTGGGCATCTCGAGGGGTGTGTCAGGGCACCCACGTAGTGGGGTTGCGCCTAACTCAGTCCGCCAATGGCAGCCACAGGCTGTTCCACGCTGTACCTAAGTACGTAGAACACCTAACTTAGGTGGGATCTTGGTGCGAGGGCCGCGTCTCAGCCGGACCCTCCGGGGTGCTTATGCAGGACGGCAATGCTGGTTCGGCTGGCTGGGAAGGCAGGAACCCCCAATTCTGCCGGCTTTAAGACCTGGCAGTCCTCTAAGTCAGCCCCTCCACCTCCCATCCTCTTGATCCTCCCTCTTATTCACCATGACATGAAGGCTTCAGGGAGCACGGCTCTTCCTGTTTGCTTCTTTCTTACGTTATCTTTGCATAGCCTCTGATTTCAGGATACCCTCTTCGCATCTGTATATACCTTCGCTATACTCGACACAGCTTGAAGCTTGAAGCCACACGCACAAAGCTGCGCCGTCCTGCCGCCTTCATTACTTGCAAGCAACATGGGGTCTGTCGGAGAAAACAACAAGCGCACGGCTGAGCCGGAGTCCTCCATTGTGGTAGTTGAGCAGCATCAAGAGACCGACGACATCAATACCGACGGCCACCCCGATGCGCCCATACAAGATGCTAGACTACAAGAGTTGGAGGAGGACTCGTCGTCCACCGAGCTTCCTCGCTTCGTGCAGGAGGAGCGAGGTTGGAAACGCTGGAAGTGGGTGCCCTACCCCGTCCGGCGCTTCGCGAAAGCCACCGTCAAGTGGTCCAAGGGCCCTACCAATCCTCGCGATTACAAGATCAATCCGCTGTTCCCTGTCGTCCAGCATGCGCCGCTGTGGTTGCTCGACACATACCTTCCGCGGAAGAAACACCGAATATGGGCTTACCTCGCCTACCTTGCGATATGGCTAATGACGTTTGCGCTCGTGATGCGCCAGGGCATCCTCGCTACCGAGATCGCAGGCTGGGGCGAGCCAGCAGACATTGGGTGCGGTAACACGTACTGGGTCTCGGGCAATCGGTGTGGTCTGAATGGCAATGATTGCCGCCCGTTCAATGGGAGCGGGTTCGCCTTCCGGTGTCCTGCCACTTGCATTACCTATCAGGTTCTGAACCCAAGGGCAGTGGGCGACCAGGAGATTATATACCGCCCATTGGTAATCGGCGGACCCAGCGATACCACAGAGACTCCCATCTATCGAGGCGATTCATTTATCTGCGGCGCTGCCATTCATGCCGGGGTGATCTCCAATTCCAAGGGTGGATGTGGTGTTGTGAGAGTCATAGGAAAGTCAGAAGACTATGCCTCGTCGGACAACAACGGGATCAAGAGCGTCAGCTTTGACTCGTACTTTCCACTCTCCTTCACCTTTGAGGGAGGACTTGGCTGCGCAGCCCGGGATCCTAGATGGGCCTTGCTCGGCGTGTCGGTAGCCTTCACTGCTGTCTTGTCTCTCTTCACCACATCGCCCGGTGTATTTCTCTTCACCATCTTTACAGGCATGTTCATTCACGTTGGCATGGCTTCAGACCCACCAGGCCACTACTCGATTCCGGACTTGATCACGAACCTGATTGGCAAATACTTGCCAGCGATGTTCACTGTCTGGGTCATGTACGACAAGATGGGCGTGAGACGGACATTGAAGGGTCTTACAGCGCAGATCGAGAAGACGGTCCTCTGGCTTGGAGCGTGCTGGGTGGGCGCTCTCACGAATTACACCTTTGACTTCATCCCGATCCAGAGGCTCACCCCGCATGACATCCAGCAGCAACCTGGTGCCAAGGCCGCTTTGGCTATAATTATCATCGTACTCGTGGTGCTTGTCGTCAAGCAAATATGGTATTTCCGACAAGAGGGCCGTCTAATTCGCTACGGGAAACTCTACCTCATGTTTATTGGTGGGATCATCGTGTGCCTCATTCTCCCAGACTTCAAGCTCCGCATCCATCATTACATCCTCGCTCTGCTTCTACTGCCCGGAACGAGCATGCAGACACGGCCAGCACTGCTGTACCAAGGCCTACTTATTGGCTTCTTCATCAACGGCATAGCACGCTGGGGATGGGACCCTGTCCTGCAGACGGCCTATTCGCTGCAGGGCGATGCGCCGAGCAACTCACCACTTCCGGCCCTCATCAGTGCGCCAGCTATTCAGCTCGGTGCAAACCTATCTACGATCACTTTTGGCTGGAAGATGCCGACACAGATAAGATACGACGGTATCAGCGTGCTGGTAAATGATGTTGAGCGTTTCAGGGGCTACTACAATGATGACGGGAGCTGGATAGGAAACTGGACCTGGACTCGAAATGGCGACCAAGATGTCAGGGAGTATTTCCGTTTCGCATACATGGAAGGCAGCAAGAGTTGGGACTACACTCGTGCGGGAACGTGGACCGCAGACGGTGAATGGTTGGATATGCCGCCAGGCCCGTCGAGGGTGAGGAGTCGTAGCGTAGACGGTGAAGAGAGAGTTGTCTTTGGATAGACTGATTTTGCTCGTGACGATCGAGTAGACTGCATGCAGCATAGAATTAGAGTGTAGCGAGGTACCAGTTGATACCAATGGAATTGAGTTGATGCCTTTTAGCTTGATTCGTCCTCCGTTCGGGCGGAGTCTCTCTCACTTACGGGGCATTGGCTCCATCTTGAATCCTTCCCGCGCCGCAAGCTACTTACATCAATGAACGTCAATTCCTCACCCCAACTTCAATCTCATTACAAACTCAAATTTTGTCTCTTCTCTGCGCGAAATAGAACTTTCAGTCGGACACAGACTATGATCGTCACAATGGCCGAATCTACCCCGTATTTCGCGGTCTCAACACTGCAGGTCGCACCTGAGAACATGGAGAAGGTGAGCTATACCAAGCAACGTCATAGGAACCGAAAAGCTAAGTACGATGGCCCAGGTGGTTGAGTTCTTCACCAAAGTCGGGAAAGAAACAGAAGCAAAAGAGCCAGCTGCCAAGATCTACCGTTGGTTTAAGACCGAGGGCAAAAACGAATTTGTTTTCATTGAAAAGTGAGCTCTGGATTTCCGTTACACTAGAACCAAGTCTTAACTCGATCGGAATAGGTTCGACAGCCTGGAGGACTATCGTGCCCACCAACGATCTGATCATGTTCAGGGATTGTATGCTGAATACAAGAAGTACCTGCCCGAGCCGTTTGTCTTTCATTTCATGGATTTGCAAGGTGTTGGGCCCGGAGGGTTTGACCGATCGTGAAAATTGCTCTCAGTCGAAATAGAAAACCTATCATCATGACAATTATTACAGACCCAAGGAATGAAAGCCTTTGTCAAAAAAGATTTAAAGAAAAATCCGGTCAAATAAAACGAATAGAACTCCAATCAAGCAAACCCGCACGATCAACTTGATATTTCCAACTGCACATACGGCGCAGTGTTCTGTATGTCAACTTCACCGCCGCTGATCATTCATTCCTCTAAAAACATCGAAAAAGCTATTCTCTTCTTCACTTGAGCTCTGTCGGCTGTTTGTCAAGTTTTTGCTTCTTGGGTGCCTCGTAGAGTTCAAGCTGCTGCAGAGTTGATGTTTCATAAGCCTGCCGTTTCTGACCGCCAACCACATCAGGTGCCTGACACTTGAGGAAGAACTCTTTGGCCGCTTCTGTGGTATCGTAACTGAGGCCTCTCCTTATGTTGACTTTCTGCATTTGTCCTGCCACCTTTGTCATGTCACGGTATCTGGAAATGACCTTCCGATGAGTGAATCAAACGGCGCTCTGGGGCGTTGCACCTCGTGTGCAACAAGCACACGGATGGTGCCCTGTAGGAACATTTAGAAGCGAACTGTAAGACTCAGCACATCTAGAGTGAAGAGCGCCCCATTCTCATTCTTATTCTCATTTTCGTTCGATCTCACGATATACAGGGGCCCAGATTAGGCCTTGTGTCGTTGAACCCGCATTCGCTGCCGGAGTGGGACTTGACGAAGATTGGTCAGGCATAAAACCATCAGTTTCAGCGCTACGGTAAGTATTTCTACCATTAAACGACTTACCCCACTGTTTCCGGATGCTTGACAAGTTTTTGATATTGAACCGGAGCTTCTCGAACCAACATTGGATCAATACTTTTCTTTAGGCGATTTTGCACGGCGGTCAACCGCCATTGATTGCGATTCCATAATGGCACCCAAGATTCGCATTCCTACAGGGGAGGATTTCGCTGCCCTCTCTCCCGCCATGACTGTGTCGCTCCACTTTCCTTCTCCGCCAGAGTCAACGACGGCTATTCTCATATTGTTCCATGGCCTTGGAGACTCCGAGGCTTCATTCGCTTCCTTCGCACGCAACATGTCGCTACCTGGTGTCCTTGCGATCTCAGTGAGAGGCACTAGCCCACTCCCGCCATCACTCCTCGGTGATGCCCTGGACAATGGCCCAACACGACACTTCCACTGGGGCGATGACCTCAATCTGGCACCGAGCACTGGAGAACTGGACCCAGATCCAGGTTTTGATAAGGCTGCCAACCTGATTTCCACTCGGCTAATCAATGAGACTCTTATTGAGAAATGTGGTTGGAAGACTAGCGATATTCTATTCTTCGGCTTTGGCCAAGGAGGTTCACTGGCACTGGGCCTGGCCTCTAAGCTTAGAGTTGGTCCGAGAGTCGAAGAGGTGACTGATGAGACCAGTGCTGGAACGGACGACAGAGTGTTCAAGGGTGTGGTATCCATTGGAGGACCTTTACCGTCATCAATGATTCCCAGCCTAAGCTCGCGATCAAAGTCAAAAACACCGGTGCTACTGTGCCGAGGTCACTCGAGCGACACCGTGGATGAAGACGCCATTGACATACTGAAACGTGAATTCGTTGACGTGAGAGTGACAAATTGGAAGAAGACAGACGACAGCATGCCAAGAAACAAGGACGAGATGCTGCCTATTATGAAGTTCTTTGCGGAACGTTTACGGAGCGGGTGGTGAACCATAATCTGGCATGGACGATTCGATGGGGGAAATAACTCCTCTCAATGCGACAATACATACTTACTTCCCCTACGTGGCTACGGGACCGATATCTATGTGATTATTTGCCGCCACTAAGTCTCCCAAGGAAACCAAGTCAACCGAAAGACTTATAATCAACCCTCGATATACGGGGATCTGATCCGGCCCAGTCCCTGGAGTCGCGATGTTGAACCTGGAAACTAGCAAAGCCGAGACCTTGTCGCCTACCATCAGAGACATCGCGATGAGAGAAATGGAGCACTGAGGCTTAAATTACTCTCTTGCATGAGCCTTTGTCTATTTGACTCGAGTTTCTTTGTCGAAGCCTCCCGATTTGGTGGTGAATAATGTGAGACAATAGGGCGCTATCCAAATGGGGTTCTGAATAAGATCGCCTCCTCTTTCACAAGAAGAAACTACCGCCTCACATCTTCGATCAAAGCTTCTAGAAACATCAAGAGTACTGAGCCGCATGACGTTTCCTGCACATTGTTTCTGTTGTTAATCGTGCCATGGTACCAGTTTCAGCAAGAGTCAGAAGAGGGCCGAAAATGCTCTTATTGAAATAACAAGATGGCCACGGCTGCTCGCGCAAAGCGAGCACTACATGCAGTAAAATCGTGGGACTCCTAGGTTCTTCGAAGAATTTTGAAAACGAATTAAGCATACATTATGAGTTCAGATATACTCAAAACATGGCTCTTGATGGGGTGCACAGACAGAGCTACCAATAGGCCGCAGTGGCTGAGGGCGGTCCAACCACGCGTCCGCAGCATTTGGAGGTTACACAGGACCAAAACCGTCGGGAGGACCTCACGATCATTTGAGGAATGCCAGGAACAAAGAACACGGCTTCGTACCCCCCGGCACCAAGCCACTTCAATGCCGTATTTCACGAAGTCAGCACAGCTCAAGGGCAACGCATGCGTCGGACCTTTATTGGACGAACTCAGCTAGAAGTCTGCATCATCACAACTACTACGCCTCAAGCGGTCAAACGCTAGAGAGTCGAAACCAGATTCAATGTCTCTCATTATTCCCCTTTCTAGCTTTTCGGGAGTCATTGTATCTGAGCTCCGCCTGGAACCTCGCCATAATTTTAAAATAAGCTTATGTAGCTACCAGTGTGCCTTAAGCAGACCTCCTTGGACTCGAATAGCAAGGGTGATATCCGTCAATTATGACATAACCTCATGACGACGATGGCAGCAAGAGCCGCTGCAAACAAAAAGAACTAATACGTGAAGGGAATCCTTGGAATGGCCACTTCTCTGATGAAGCCTCGAAATTGTGCTCCTGGGGGCTCGGGTGTTTCGTGGTCGCAAAATTTGGCCCTGCTGCCTTCTTATTCAGCCCTTACAATGGTCATATAGTTTTAGAAAGCGGGAGTGACACAAAAGAAAAACATTGTGAGCCAGTTTCAGCCCAGGTACATTAATCCAGTTGTGTTTGTGTATAAATCGATGACTTCCTTCTATCATATAACTCCTGCTCCTCTGAAAATCACTTCATTCCGTGCAATCCCTTTTCCTGCTGCAGAATCCTGTCATTCAACGATGACTGCTACCTCAAGCCGTATTCGCAACGGTGTCATAACCGCTCTTGTTTTCTCCAGCATCTGTGGTGGCGCCGTTATCCGATCAAAATCTAGCCAGGAACTTCAAGTCACGTACAAAGAGGTACGTTGATATTGACTCTTATGTATCCACAAACCGCTTTAATTAACATTGATAAGAATACGGTATGTGAAACCACGCCGGGCGTCAAATCCTATAGTGGATATATCAAAATCCCTGCAACTCTAGATCCGCCGCTTCAACCGTACGACGCGAACATGTTCTTCTGGTTCTTCGAGGCAAAGGAAAACCCTTCAACAGCTCCGCTGAGCATATGGCTTGCTGGCGGGCCGGGATCTGCCAGTATGGACGCGGCTGTCTCTGGACACAGCGGACCATGCATCGTTCAGGATGACTCGAACACCACGACCCCGAACCCTTGGAGTTGGAATAACAAAGTCAACTTGTTGTACATTGATCAGCCTGTTCAGACCGGCTACTCATATGATGTCGTTACTGAGGGCGTCCTGGACACTCTCACCGGTGACATTGACGTCTCTGGAGATGATGTTCCCCTTAACTTTACAGCTGTCAAAGGGAAGTTTTCTAGTCAAAATCCGACCACGACGGCGAACACCACAGGTATTGCCGCAAAGGCAATTTCCAACTTCCTCCAGCTATGGTTTCAAGAGTTCGACACCTATAAGCGAGACAACATCAGTATCTGGTCAGAGTCCTATGGTGGCCACTATGCCCCAGCCATCGCCGCGCTGCTCATGAAGGAGAAGGCTGCTGCCAGCAGCGCCGAGAGCAAGCGAAGCTGCGGTAGTGTTCCGCCGTTCCATGTTGGAATTGATTCAGTCGGCATCATTAACGGCCTCATCGACATAACTGTGCAGGCACCATTCTACCCGTCTTTCGCGATCAATAACACATACAGCATAATGGCCTACAACGAGACCGTTGCGCAGCTGGCAGTGGACAATTTATACAAGGAGGGCGGGTGCATGGAGCAGGCATTGGCGTGCCGGGCACTGGCCGAGGAGAGTGACCCTGACAACTATGCGAACAATGAGACTGTAGCCGAGGTCTGCGGAACAGGTCTTGCGTATTGCTGGGAGAACGTATATGGCTTCTACGATGCGCTATCAGGGGTAGGTCTTCAATCTTTCTTGCTGAACACCAGCGCCAGCATATTCGGGTCTCGCTAACAAATCCAATTTCAGCGCAACTGGTTCGACATTGGGAATTTCATGCCGGACTCAGTCCCTGAACCCTATGCGTATGGGTTCCTTAATAACGAGTGGGTCATAGAAGCCCTCGGAGCGAACGTCAACTACAGCATCAACAACAATGTGATTGGCATGGGTAAGAGAGATAGTTTTTGTATGGTTTGGAGCAAAACTAACATTTACTAGGTTTTGCTATGAATGGCGACCTCATCCGCGGCGGATTCAAAGAGGATCTAGCTAATCTCCTAGACCAAGGAGTCAAGGTAGCTCTCATCAACGGTGATCGTGATTACAGATGCAATTGTGAGGAGCCAGTGTTGACTTTCATCCGGCGATAACGACTGACTTGATTTTCAGGGCTTGGCGGTGAAGCTGTCAGTCTGGCCACGAATTATAGCCAGAGTGATGATTTTGCAGCAGCGGGATACACAGATATCTCTGTTAACGGGAGCTATGTGGGCGGCAAGGTTCGACAGCATGGGTTGTTCTCTTTCTCGCGAGTCTATGAAGCCGGCCATTCGGGTTAGCCAACCACTGTGCTCCGTCTTTCTCGATTATCACTAAGAAACGTACAGTATCGCATTATCAACCGGAGACTGTCTACAGGATCTTCATTCGCTCCATCTTTGGGCAAGATGTAGCTACCGGGACCGTGTCTGTTGTTGACGACCCGAGCTACTCCACCACCGGGCCTTCTTCAGTATTTGATGTCAAGAATGCCATTCCAGAGCAGCACCCCATCGAGTGTTATGTCGAAGCAGCGCCGCTTCCTCTGAGTTGCACAGACAACCAGATCGCAGCTCTGCTCAACGGGACAGCTGTCGTTGAGAATCGGGTCGTGATGGATCCCGCGGAATGAACTAGTATTCAAACACAAAGAAGCTGCTATTTGTTTCTTCACCTTCAATCCTGTGATGGAGGTTTCGCATGTTGCATCTGATAGGTCGGCAGAAAGATTTCTAGCTCTGTCACAACCCAATCACATATTGGCCACGACAGACAAATACAACTCAAACGACCATTTTCAGTCGGTTGATCGGCGTTGTAAACCTACTTACCATGGGCTTCCCGGGATATGTGATCTAAGACTGCACCGGTGCGTTGACGCCATTCGTGTGCGAGACGACGAACTGCCGAATCACGAGAGCACCTGCAGCTTTGGTTGCATATTGCAACACCACACAGACATGCACCACGTATCGCGAGCGGCGGTGAACAGCAAACTGTTTTGGTGACGTGCAATCTTGCTTCGGCAAGGAATTGTTCCCTTCCTCCCCTTCACTGTTCAACGTCAGAGTCGTATAGCTGGGACTTGGCTTGTCTATGGATGAGAAATAAAGATCTTGTCTTGTCTTTTGTCAGGGTATAAGTCTCTTTCCTATTTAACAAATAACATCTCTCTTTCGTTCAGCCATATGCCATCCTCTTGCCTAAGCAAGCTTCAATGCAAGCCTTTCGCAAAACAAAAAAAAAAACCATGTCTTAATTTCAAGCCCAAAGATGGACGGGATGTAACGCCATAACTCTTTCTCGTGCCCGAGTATCTCCAGATTCATGATGGTCGTGTCGGCTTTCAGGATTGAAACAAAGCAATTAAAAAGTTACACAAAATGTGGCCTCTGGGGCAGATTGAAGCCAAAGTGCTTGTCATATGCCAAGAGGATGCTGGAAGACTGGGTATAAAGTATGAATCTTCCCAGAAGATCGATGGTATGTCATGTTCAAATCGTGAATGCGGCGATAATTCATAGGAAGCCACCCTCGCCAGCGCCGAAGACGCCGACACTTCCTCGCCAACCGCAACGTTTATCCCACTCTTCGCGGTCCTGCGTGTTACTTGGCGGTAGGGGAGACCCGCGGGGATGCAACGATCCCTTCATTGACTGTTCTCGTAATGCGTCAATATCGCTGCTCCCACGACTGCTAGTGTGGCTGGTGTTGGTCTGAACTAACAGTAGGCTGCTCGTACTACTCAGCCGCTTGGTGAAGTCTGTGAAACTGAGGCGCTTGGTACTTGACGCAGATTGGCGTTTCTCAGTCGCACTCCGGTGCAGACCGGATGTGTAAGTCGTCGGACCTCCGTCTTCAGGTGTCTTACCTGACGTTGCAGAGGCCGATTGACCATCGCGGTTGGAGCTTTGAGCTGCAGCTAGCTGTGGTTGACTGTATGTTCTCTGAGCGATTCCTGGCCTGTTTCGACCGTAACCTGTGTGCGGTCTTAAATTGGAGGTTAACCCACTGTTCAAAGCCATAAGTGTCTCGGGATTATAACTGATGGGTGACCTCGCACCCTGCGGACGGGTGTCGGTCTGTTGACGGCGGCCCTGAATATAATTCAGGGCTCGCTGTGCAGTGGGCGGCATCCCCACATCGTCATCATCAAGATCTTTCTCGTGAGCATATTCGTCCTCTTCATCTTCATCGTCCTCTTCAGCTGGTTCGACATCGTCATCATCATCATCGTCCGACTCGTCATCAAGATCCCAAGCGCTCTTCAAACCATCATTCTCAGGGCTCGTCGGAGGCGGTTTAGTTTCAGCCTCTCTCTTCTTTCTTCGCTCATCTACCTCACGCATCAAAGCGTCGAAGCGCGCAAGTGAGGTGAGCTTTTCCTCGCCCGGGACCGTGTCACGCTCTGATTGCGGGATGTGACCGAGCTGGAAAGCCCGATCTAAGATCGTTTCACGATGTCCGGGCGGGGAGCTCGAGTCCAATGGCTGCTGAAGCGGGACGGGAGGTTGTGACCCGATACTGTCCCTACCCCTGACCGGCGAGCTTAGAGTTGACGATCTGCCTTGGGCTGAAGTCCAGCCTTCAATGAACTCTCCCTGATACTCTCCTACAGTTGTGGCGGGTGATGGCAAGTCGGTGGGGTGTACAGTAGTATAATGTTGATTTGGAATGAAACCAGCGTGAGAAGGATTCATTGAGCCTGTCTGGGAAGAAATATCGCTGCGCTTAGACCGCAGGCTAGCGGATCCCGAGTACGTTAGAGGACGATCGCGTTCCCGACTTGAGTAAGTCTGACTCGAAGTCTTGTGCTGAAGGTTGCCTCGCGGATTATTCGTGGCACTGGGGGGTCTCTGGTAGTAATCGGATGGCTCGCGGGCCCGCGGAGCAAAGGGATTTATAAAGGTGGGAGATCCAGGTGTGATCGGGCTCATGGGCTGTCTATCTGGCACGTTAGGTTGGATGAACGACTGGATACAGCGCGCCCAGTCGTGCAAGCTGTGGCGGTCATCTGATGATGGACGAAACCACAGTGTTGTAGGTGATGTTTCCTTCGTTGTCGTGAGGCCAGCCGTCCTGCTCGACCGTCGTTTTCGCAGTTTGTCTGTAGCGGGATCGGGGGAGATGTTGATGACCAGCGTGGCTAGGACTGGCCCTTGCTTTCGGTGTGCCAGCATCTGGACCTGGCATTCGGTCACGGAGCTAATGGCATGCTGTTGTATGGGCTCCCATTCGTCCTGAAAGGCAGTACTGGTGAGCCGACCTGCTTCCTGATAACTAGCCTGTATAGCACGGCCTACCTTGGACTTATAGATGGAGAGGTAGATGGCGCCAGTTGGGGCCGTAGGCGATTCGGACTGGCCCGCCTTGGAAGCTGCTTCACGGCTCTCCTTAATGCGATTTGTGGTCATCATTTGCGACATCGAGGCATCGGTATGGTGGTCTTTGAGGGGGCCCACGACCACATATCGGGCCTAAGACAAGCACAAGTTAGAGAAAGGCCAAGCAGAGAAGGCACAATGCCGTCAGGCAAAGAGAACGTCCAAGGTACCTTCCACAGTGCCCTGCCAATAATTGTGCCCCTTTCTGGGGGTATGACCAGAGTTCCCTCCATCATGGGCTTCGGTGGCGGCGCCGGCTGTATAGTCGGCGTGCTGGACCTCGGAGGAATGTAGGTGTAGGGAATCATGGAGAAGGAGGAGGCCAATGGATTAATCATTTGAAGGGCGCATGTTGAAAGGAACAACCCAAGCAGCAGAAAGAAACCACCGACAGCCCTTCGTCCTTTCTCTTTCTTTCACCAACTGGACAGAAGCGAAGAAGCGCAACCTCGAACCCTTTTTGGTGCAGCACACACAGAAGAACAGCAGTCAAATACCAAATCTGCCCCAGGACGAACGACGAACAAACCGGCCAAACCAACGAAGAAAGTCCAAAATGGGGGGAGGGAGGGCTTCAAGAGAAGAGAGAGAGACTGCCACCAACGGTCACTCGTGGAAAACGGAGATACAAGAGGCGAAAAGGGCAAACCGGGAGGACTGGGAGCGAAATTAATAAAAATGGACAGTCCCGAATAGAGGAGGCCACCACCAGAACCACCAGCAAGCACCAGCGCCGGCGCAAGCAACAAATCTTTTGAGGTGGAAAGGCCGGGTGTGCGCCAAATTGCGCCTGCCTTCCCAGTGCGGATGCGTGGGGACGGGCGCGCTGTACCTCACCGAGTTAAGTGGAGGTACCTACCTGAGGTACCTTGTCTTCCCACCTTAAATCCGCTAATAATACCGGTACAGTGAGGTCAGCAGAAAGAAAAAAGTCAAAAGTCAGCTATAAGCTCGGTAGGCCCCTTAGTGAAACTAAAACCCGTAATTAAAAATACGGGCGCCAGAAAATAAGGTGCGTCTAAGTCGGCTTAGCTCACGGGGCTACCCTTCATTAACCACTACTTTGCTACTATACGGGCAACAGTTAAAAGAGAAGCACCCCGATGAATGCTGACCTAGGTACCTAAGGAAGGTATACATACCTAGTACTCTCCAAGCCGACACAACAATCCGGAGAAGTGCCTAGCTTCGTGCTAGCTCTTCACGATACTAACCTTACCTCCCTGCGTACGGCAGTCCCGCCGTTGTCTTCCAAGCTCTCGTTATCATGGAAGGCAAGAACGTTCAGCACTTCATGACTAAGCCACCTGACGCCGTACTGTACCTGATACGTTCGTTGTAAGACTGACTGATGGAGTTCCGGACCTGGGCCCATCTCATTCTCACCGCATCCCCTTATGTACCCGTAGACATGCAGACTGCCTAGGTAGGTAGCTAGGTAGGTAGGTAGGTATTTCCTCTTATTCAGGGTCGCTCATCGCAGTTGCGCGAGTGAAATATCTCAAGAGCGTTTAAAGTGCTCCTTAGGTGACTCGACATCCCCAAAGGTCATGGAGTTCGGCAGCCTTCCCGTCCCCTTACACCCTCTCATTGCTCGTTGGTTCGAGTCTCTGTGGCTGACTTAGATACACTACCTAGGTACAATTAGAGCGAAGCCAGGCACGTTGAGCATACCTAGGTAGCGTACCTGATGCCCTGAACCTTTCTTCGTTTGGTTAATTAAGGTACTAAGTCGTGGGTGACACAGTTTCAGATGACTGCGTGATAAGGCCTGGCTGGGGCTAGCACCAAAGGTACCGTGGCCATTGTACCCACCCTGCCCCTGGAGGCCACAGCATCCCGGCTCCACTAAGGCACAGTCCAGCCTCCCTTGCTTCCCTCTCGCATATCGTGTGGCATCTGAGAGCCAAGCAGAGCATCGAACCTGGCTTCTCGCGAGTCACGTTGCTCTGTCTCCAGCAGTAGTCTACCCTGTAGTCACTTATTTGGTTGACTACCGAATGGGTTACGGCTCATCTTTTACTGGTTCGTTGGCATCGATGGCTGAACTGGCATTCGAGGTCTGGTACGCCCGTCTCCGCCACGGACGCCGTGCTGCAATATCAACGGCCTGCTAAGCCAAATCGTCCCTTGCCAGGAACTGAACGAGATGACGGCGTCAAACCCGGGTTCGTCTGTGACTTCACCGCACTGGTAGCGAAGCTGGCTCCCAAATACCATATGCAAGTGGTCGGGCGTATCATATAGC